GCCAGCGCCCAGGCCCTGGGCGGCCTACAGGAGCGAGAACCCAACCAACTAGAATTCCCAGGTGTATTACTCTAACATCGTCACTCGCGGGTCAGTCTGGGGCGACCCTGACGACGTCTGCCGCGACCAGCTTGGGCGGCACAAGCCGCCTCCAGCAACGAAAAGTGCTTCAGCGACAAGAACGGCAGCGCGATGAGAGAACCGGGCAGTGGCGGCCATGCGCAAAGAACAGCGGCTCTTCCCGCCGAGGTCAAGGTTTCCTTGTCGCCGCAGGCAAGATCAGTCTACGTGGGCATATCCGGCCTAAGCGAACACATCATCAGGCATACCGGCGGCCCCGAGCCGAGTATTGGAACGCCCCAGGCATCGTGAGGGGTGGCATGCAACTTTCGGAGAATGACCAGATGCACGCCTGCGTCGAGGCGGACGCTCAACGTGGAGGCACCATCCGCCGCATTACTAAGCGCCCGCCCGACGCCGTTCTCAGTTCAGAGGGGATAGCGAGGATTTGCGGAGATCCAGACGGCGGAACCACCTGCGGCCACCGCCCGCCTGCCTCGCGCTCGCCGCGCCACATTTTTGACGAGTGGTTCTACCCCCTGCAGCAACCACTTAGCCGACAATTTCAGCTGCGCGCCACGGCCCAGCCGCGGCAGCAACTACAGCGCCACCGCCGACGGCGCGCCTGGCGACGGCGTCGACCACGGCGCCAAGGCTCCGCTGAAGGCTGTGCCGCGCTACAAAACACCATCGGTAAAGGCCGCATTTGCCGCGGCGCCGCCCCCGCAGGATGCCGCTTCGCCCCGGCCGAGGAGGGCCAGGGCAGGGGCGAGTGGATGACCGACGACATGGGCCTCGGGCAGGGCGGCGCCAGACTCAGCCCATGCGCCTTGCCATGCCAGGCGGGGCCCTCCGAGGCCCCGCCAGTGACGACGCCCTCCTCGCGCGACCGGCCTCGCGCAGAGCGGCAGCTGTGCGCCCCCAGCGCAGGTGCCCTACAACCCACCGCCCTCGAATGCCATCGCCGAAACATTAGCGGCGCCGCGCGTGGATTCCGCGCGCGAGCATGCCGGTCCGCCCATCGAGGAACTATGCGTCGGCATGGGATCTGGATCCCCCGGCGTAGACTTTCACATTGTTCTGATCGCGCGCTGGACGGGCGACGCTAGCAGCCCCCATGTGAGAAGACGACTCTCTTCTTCTAGACGTACGTCCGCAGGGCGATGTCGGTAGCCATCGCAAGCGCCCGCGACTTGGAGTCCAGCTGCGACTGGGGCGCAGGCCCGAGCGCCGCGGCGCAAACTGCCAGCGCCACAACGCCCCCGATATCGCATTCCACCTCGCCGACGCCCTCCTTCGACGTGCTCCGCCCCCTCGATGCGAGAGAAGCCAGGCAGCGAAGCCGGCGCCTGATCGAAGAGAAGCGCACCCGGCTGGCGAGCGCCGCCGAGTCGACCCAGCCGGAGCTAGCCCCAACTCGCCCCAAGATCGCGAGCGGCTGGCTCCGGACTCGAGGCGACGACATCTACGACGCGAGGCGCCCACCGCTGCTAGTCGGCATTGGGGCGATGCGACGACCACGGGGGCGAGACAGACCTCGGGCACGACAATCTGGACTACCCCGCGGCGAAGGCTTTTGGCGCCTCCGAGACGATCACCCTAGTCACAACCCGACCCCATCCCGCCAGCTGGCAAGCAGCGGTGCCGCCAGCAACGCAGAATCATCGCCGCAAAGGACCGCTGCCGTCTCTCGCCCGCGTCTAGTTGCCCGCGTGGCCGACCACCTCTGGCGAGCCAGCCCCCCCACGCGAGCGCCGTGCTTCGAGCAGATGGGACCTGCCTGGCGGGGGCCCGTCAGTGCGTCACCCGCCACTTCCAGCGCTGCCCCGGGTTGCTCCTGCAGACCGACGGCAGATTCCACTAGATCGACCAGCTGATCTTTCCCACGGTATTGTTTTTTGGCCCTTCCATTTCAAACAGCCTCGCCCATGCGGGCAGCCAGCGGCAGCAACGGCTGGTTTCAACCGACCACCCATCCCCTGCGACATCTGCTTCAACCTGCCCCTGGCGACGGCGCGCCCCCACCACTTCAATGATGCCGGAGAGAATTGCCAATCCTAGTTTTTGTTTTCGGTTATGGGGCTATGGGCTGCACGGCTACAGGGCTAAAAGGGCTATCAGGCTATAAGGCTATACAGGCTACAGGGCTATAGGGCTATGGGGCTGTACGGCTATAGGGCTATAGGGTCATGGGGCCTTTGACCGATTGGGCTGTAAGGCTATGGTGCTATAGGGTTATAACCTCATAGGGCTATAGGCTATGCGGCTATAGGGCTGTAGCACCATAGGGCTTTAGGGCTATTGGGCTGGAGGGCTATGGGCCAATAGGGCTATGGGGCAACCGGGCACCCGGGCACTTGGGCGGGTCGCCGAAATCGGCGACGCAGTTCCCGGGCACCTCCCGGGCACCCGGGCGTGCCGCCGAAATCGGCGGCGCACCTCACCAGACCATGCGAATCCGCTCAGACCCCTACAGAGGCAGTCTCTGGTTGGGGAGGTGCTCTCGCGGCGACCGCGCCAGCGCAGCCCTCTTTGCGTGCGCGCGTTTGCGACAAACGCGCTGTGCTCGGCAGCGGGTTCACGGCCTGACGGGGCTCCTGTGCCGTTGCGTAACTAGCCGACGTGTTTCGCCCGTGGGCGCGCGGCATCCGGCGCAGGCTTGTGTGCTTGCCGCAACGCCGGGCGCCAAACAGTCAGCGCAGCATCTTCGCCCACACGTCAATCACCGCAAATGGATGTGGAGTCCCCCCAGGCGCCTTCTTGGCGTCGCCTCAACACCACCTTCCCGGGATTTCGGAGGCAGCGACACGAAGGACCTACCATCAGCTAGGCCACTGATTGTTGCCGCCCAACCTTCCATTCCCCATTGGCTGCCAACATTTATCATGGTCCGCTCGCTCCCCTCCCTACCCTACTCGTTCAGCACTCTTATGGGGCGGCGTGGGTGCGGCCATGGGTTGGGGAGCGAAGAGGGGGAGGCAACCGTTGGCGGCCGCGGCGTTGGCCGAGACTGCCGCGGGCAGCAGCCACGCTGCAACCAGATGTTTGGCGATGCTTGTCTACACCCGCGTACCCTTGTTTCTCCCCATACTCCCGTCCCGTCGCCAGCCGACGCCCGACATCGTTGCGTTGGTCTGGGTGCCCGCGGTTTCTGCGCCACGGCTATCAACGCGCAGCTTTCCCACGTCATCTTCATTCTCGCCACCTGTCACGCCCTTGATTCTTAGAAGTTACACTGGCCAGGGCTAGTGCGAATGTGGCGGCGGCTTACAGTATGATCTGCCGCACCGTGCTTCCACCCCGTCGTTCCTATTTCATCATGCGGCGTCTTTTGCTCACCAGGACTGCCACCACACTCGCCACTTCAGCAATGCGGCAATCGCCACAGAGGGGAGCGGGTTGCAGGAAGGGGATGGTCAACAATTGAGAAGGGAGGAGCTTTCATTGGGGAAGCAGCGTCCATGGAAAGCGCAAACCTCCCCCACGCCCAGTGCACCCCACCCCAGGCGGCCACCAGTCCCATGTTTTGGGATTCTTTCGCCTGCTTCGCAGGTTAGGGCTCCCGTCGTTGGCTTGTGGGACGCCTGCTGGGGGTTCCTACGGGCAAGGGGAGAGGCATTTGCGCCTTGTCCCTTGGCAAGCAAGCTTGGCCCCGCCGACACACAGCCCAGCGCCAGAGCCGCCGCAACTGCCACAGCCTTTTGCCTCCCCTGTCGTCCCTTCGCCCTTTTTGCACACCTCACTACTGCCGCTAACTCCAAAACCGTAGCCTCCGCTTACAGCCGCCGCGCCTGCCATTGCCACATTCCCCCCCCCCTCTCCTCCCTACTTGTTATGTTTGCTGTTTCATCGAATTGTTCGTGCCCCTCTTCTCTTTTCCTCGTTCAGTTCGTTTGCTACTGTCGCCCTCCTGCTTTTACTTTTTTATTTGTACCCCAGCAGCTCGCGATTCTTGGAACGACCGCCCCAAGAGTCGCCGGGCTCCTAGTTGTGTCACCCCTCCAGAGGCCGACCGGCCCTGGGCGGGGAGGAGGACGATAAGAATGTGGACGGAAGAGGAGGAGGAGGAGGAGGAGGAGGAGAAGGAGGAGGAGGAAATGAGTAGGAGATGAGGAGGAGGAGGAGGAGGAGGAGGAGATGAGGGAGGCAGGGTGAAGGACAAATGGTGAGGAGCAGATGGGAGGAGGGACCTAATTGAGGGTGAAAGGTGCACCCCCCCAGCGTCCATGTCGATTCGACCGAGCGGGTTCGACATCGACTTCGGCCGACCGTCTCCGAATCGAGTCCGATGGGCACTCCGACGATCGGTCGCGACCCGCTCCTCGTGGTGCCGCTGCTCGTCTCGGCGCGGCCGCCCCGATGCGAGCCCGACTACGGCGTCGCCGTGGCCCCTCTCGATGCCTGCCCCGATGCGACCCCACTCTTCGATCCGATGCGGACCGTCCCTGCCCCTGGCAGCGCTCGGACGCGTGCATTTTTCCCCGGCGAGAACCTCCGCGGACCACCCTCGACCAACGAGCAACAAAAAACACGCGCGACACCGAAAAATGCAGGGGACATTCAGGAGGGGAAAAAACACACAGACACAATTAATCAGCGATCCCCAGAAAATATGGGAAAATATGGGAAGTGGGGGGGAAGACAGAAACCCAGAAAATATAGGAACATATGGGGAATAGTTTTATTTGTGTGTATTTATTGGTGTGTCCTGGGGCCCCTTGGGACACGGACGCGTCCGAGCGACGGCGAGTGCCCCTGCACCGAGGGGGGGAGGAGGAGGAGGAGGAGGAGGAGGAGGAGGAGGAGGAGGAGGAGGAGGAGCAGGAGCAGGAGCAGGAGCAGGAGGAGGAGGAGGAGGTGGAGGAGGGGGAGGAGGAGGAGGAGGAGGAGGAGGAGGAGGAGCCCCCTCGCCCCCCGCTCGGCCCCGCTCCGCCCGCGAGGGGCTGCCGCAGCGGGACCCCCGGCCGCCCGCGGAGTGGCCCCGGGCGAGAGGCCTGGCGCGGGCCCGCGGAGGGGCGCCAAGAGGGGGGGGGGCTCCAGGATCGAGGGAGGCAGGGGGAGGAGGCCGACGAAGAGGGGCAGGAGGAGGACGAGGGGGAGGAGGATGACGAGGAGGATGACGACGAGGGGGAGGAGGATGACGGGGAGGATGAGGAGGAGGGCCCGCCTGGGGCCCCGAGAGGGGAGGGGTCTTCAGGATCGAGGGAGTGGGGAGAGGAGGCTGACGAGGAGGAGGAGGAGGACGAGGAGGAGGGGGAGGAGGGAGGAGGAGGGAGAAGGAGGTAGAGGATGAGAGGGATGAGGGAGGAGGGGGATGAGGCTGAGGAGGAGGAGGAGGAGGAGGAGGAGTCTCAAAGTCCTAGTCTGGGCACGCTGGTGCCAGTGGCCAGGGCCCTGACCCAGGGGCCACGGGGGAGGCCATCAGCAGGTCGGCCACGGTGTGCAAAGAGCTGGAGAAGGGGTGGCGCACGACACATAACTATGTCGAATAATGGGAGGGGGACGTGGAGGAGAATCTGACGCTTCAGGCTCTGTCCTTGAGTTAGAGCAGGGTCACACATGTGGAGAACTGGCGAATGGGGGAACAATGCCGAGCAGGATGCGGCGGCAGGATGAGCAGCAGCATGATATGGGAGAGGATGAGCACCAGCAGGAGACAGGAGAGGACATGGTTGAAGGTAGAGGAGGAAAGTATCAGCAGCAGGACGATGCGGAGGATGAGGAGGAGGTTTGGGCATGCGAATGAGAAGGATGAGGAGAAGAAGGATCAGGAGATGAAGGATCAGGCAGGAGAGGGTGGGAAGAACAAGTAACAACAGTAGGAGGAAGCACAAGGAAGGGTGTTTGATGCGCGGATTCACAGGGGATGATGGTTCATGATGAATGGTGTGCAGGGAGGTACAGCAGGCAACAAGAGAGGGGGCGGGGCAGGGAGGAAGACGGCGGCGGATGAGGAGGATGAGGAAGAGGAATGAGCAGGGGGAGGGAAGGAGGAAGGAATCACAACATGCTGCTGCAACTCCGTGGCGAGTGCATCTTCGTTGGCTCGTCTCTGCCAGCTGCGGGACCTCCTGTAAGCCAAGCCCCCGGAGCTGGCTAAATAGTCGAGGTTGTCGACCCACCTATGGTAATATAGTCGATTTCTCCGTTCTCCGCGTCTGAGCACCCAGTGTAAGCCATCACAAGAGACTGGCAATTCACAAGTATACTGATATCCAACCGTGTGTGTGTGTGTGTGTGTGTGACGACTGTGCTTGAGCAGGTTCCACCCAGTCCTGAACAAAGGGGCAGTTGTGTTGAATAGGAAGTGCAAGTTTCGTGAACTCGAAGGCGTGCTGGGGCAGAAACTGCGGCTGATAATAAACACATCATCCTCGTACCGCCCGCAACCAATTGATGCGCTTTTTCGGCAGGAAGCCATGGAATTTGAAACCGGCTGCCGAAAGGTTTTCAAAGCTTGCCACCATGTCACTTCTGCGAAGCGCAGGGCAGTGGACACGGCGATGCTGGATACGACGCCCCCGACGCGAATCCCTTTCATCTCACAGACGCAGTGCCCGAGGAAATCAAGCGAGCACAGAGTGTAGACCGCCAGCGCACGGAGAATATCTCTCACTTTCATTCGCCGTCATAAGTTCTCATAGCCGCGGTGGCCGATCTTGGTAGTACACTTGCGCCCTTTGCCAACGTTAATGGTGGACGTGCCTGATGTTGAAAGGTTTGCCCGATGCGAGTAGCCCCGATGCGTAATATGACCGAACTGACAGCCAGCAGCACACTTGGAGGGGAAACGGCCTCAAATGCCTGGTCAACGTCGGCAGTTACAACGGTGATGTGGTTGTTCAGGCAAGCCCCGCAGCGCCAGTACGTTGGCGAAGAAGCCTGGAGGTTCGCGGTCACTTCAAAAGAGGCTTTGCGAAGCTCCGAAAGGTTGAACAGCTCGATGGTGCAGCCAACATACTGCAAGGCTCCGCGTGCTGCTCTGGAAATCGCCAGCCAACGATCACGAAGAGGCTGTCCTGAAGTGTCGACTCTGCGCAAACTGCTGTGGTTGTCTTCATTACGTGCTGGCTGTCATCGGACCAACACTTGCTTGTCAACGTGGGGAACAGAAGGAAGTTTTGCACATGCGAACACATACCCTGCGGAGCCACTGCGGAACACCCAGATGAGCCTTGGCCCAGATAAAAACAACGACTATGCTCACAGCGAGATTTGGACGACCAGTCCAAGAGTCCTGGTTTGGAAGCAGAGAGATTGCCAGGTAACACATTGAGTCCAAAGGGTGGACAACTCATGCCTTGATGGGGTTCAGAACATCAGCGACAATTGTTATGCTGGCTTCGACAGCCTGGCGCAAAGGCAGCTTGGCCCGCTCCGACTCGGCAGGACAAAATTGCCACGCCATCTCGAATGATTTCTTCTCCAGACAGCGTGCTCAGTTACGGAAGTCCCGCTCGGGGAGAAGAATTGACGAAGCCCACGTGTTCAAGATGTTTCGTAATGCGCGACCACGTCGTGCAGAGGCCTCCCGCTTTTGCAGCCTCGTGGGCCCCACGCCGGCTCGCAAAGCTGTTGTCTTTGCACGACGAGGCAGCTCTGCGTGCGGCACTTCTGAGTATTCGTCCATCGTGACTGAGTACGTTTATCACACAACATCAACAATATCCCCGGTGACTGAATGAGCGGCGCCCCGGCGCCACCTCCCAGCCCCCCGCGCGGCCGCCCTTTTGGGCGAACTGGGAGTCGCCTCGCCTCGCCTCGCCTCGTCCATCGTGACATTCTGGCAATCTCGGTTCACAGAAGTGTGGTCGGACCACCGTGGATAGTCGCATTGCGTGAAAGCGAAATGCTTCTGGATCCATGGGCAAGCCGGTCGGCACCACCTCATCTTGTCCAGGGCGCGCCATGTTACAGGGGTCAGCACCTTCTGACCTTTGTCAGCATGAATGCACGGCATGTCGAGTGATGGTATGGAAAGCGGTGGACAATTCAACCGTTACAGTAGTTTCTTGTTTATTGCGAGCCTTGTTCGCCCGGTCTTCGAACCGAAAATCGCTTGCACGAGCCAGCGTACGGTACAGGAGATCTGCAAGAGCGTTCCTCGGCCAGCGGGGAAGAACGAGGTCGGGCCTGAGCTTCGTCACGTAAGCCAACCCATCTCGAGAAGTCCCGAGAAGTCCTGGCATGGCAAATTGTTCCAAAACCCGTTCACGATAGAGCTCGGAGAAAGGTAGTGACAACCCCAGTGTTTCGGCACATAAGCGACGCAAAAAAACCGGGCTCGATTCCGACGACACTCGCGCATAAGCTGCTTGCGCAAGATGGCGCGTAAGAGCCCTCGTCTCCAGTGTAGTGTGCCGCGCTTGTGGCCCGCGCGCGCACCTACGTAAGACCCGCTTCCTTTCTTCTCTAACTCACCACCCACCAGACCACCCCAATCCAACCCGAAGACTCAGATGTACCCTCGATTTCCGGTGGGGGGGGGGGTCGGGAAACGTCGAAAAAACACATGTGGAACCCTTACCCCCCCCCCAACCCGAAATTCGGGACTTCGGGTTGGGTTGGGGTGGTCTGGTAGGTAGTCGCTAACGTGGTGACGGTCCTGCCGCACACCGTCGGCCGAGAGAGTCGGTCCGCACGGCCCTCCGCATAGGCTGCGGCCCTTGCCGCCGGGCCCTCCGCGGCGCTGGCTGGGGGGGGGGCGGCGACGGGAAGGCCGGGGCCCGCGACGTGCACTGGACTTCCTGCTCGGGGCACGGTCACTCCTTGCAGTCGCGGGCGGCCTTCACACTGCCAGCACGAGCGACCATGCCGCCAGAGCCCGTCGACGCGTTGGGAGTGCAACCAAGGGTACGAACCCGGGTGCACCACAGCGGCGATTGCCGAAGTTGTGTCAGTATTTGACTTCGTTGCCACTTGCATCCAGAGCTGGCCGGTGTGAGAAACGAATGTGTGGGGTGTGGCGAGCACACAGGCCAGATATACATATAACGGCGCACCGGGTCCGGGCGCCCGGGGCCGGCGCCGCTACCGCAAATGTGGGCTCCGGGGCCCTCGGGGAGCCCGGGGGCCTCACAGAAGGCCGCCGGAAGGCGCCAAGGGGGCCCCAAGAGGCTCCAGAACAAACCCGGGACGCCCGAAGGTCGCTCCCAGACGCCCAACATGGCCTCCAAGGCGGCTTCAGAAGCCCCCAAGACACCCCAAGCGACCCCCAATAGGGCCCCAAAGAGAGCCCCAAGGTGCCAAAATAGTCCCATTCCCTTAGTAAAACGTGTATTTTTAACAGATTGCTTGTTTTCGCTGTCGGTCCGTGCTTGACGACCTCAGAAGCTCCCAAGACCGCCCCAATACGGCCCAGGACGCGCCAATACAGCCCCAGAAAGCTCCATGACGGCCCACGAAGGGCCCAAGACGGCCCAAGAGAGTCCCCAAGACGGGGCGTAAACGCTTGATTTCACGTGTCCTGGTCGCCCAGGCGGATCTCTAAGATGAGGTCGTCGGGCTCTTCGCAGGTAGAAATACTTGCGCGGAGGGGATGTGTAATTGTCCGTCGCCTAAGCTTGGTATCTTGCAACGTATCCCTGCTCCACATTTCCAACCCTTTCCGAGTTCGTGGGTCGATAATGCGTACTTTTCAATCGATTGTCCTCGACGTCCTTGGGGCCATCTTGGGGCCATCTTGGGACCTCCTTGGGGCCTCCTGGGTGCTTCTTGGGGCCATCTTGGGGGAGATCGGTCAACGAGGGGGGGTTCTCAATTAGGCCACCCCCACCCCCCAGGAGGCCAAACGGGCCAAAACCATAGTAAAATCCATGATTTTGGCTTCCTCGCCGAGGCCGTTTTGGACGCTCCAACGCGTCGCCGCGCCCCCCGTCCAGGTCCAGGGGAGGGGGTAGGGGGAGGGGTCAAGTTACCCCCTCCCCGCCCGCAAGCCGTTTCGCTCACTCCCACCCGCTCTCCCAACGCATACGTAGCACCCGAGTCTGGCCCGAGCCTCAGCATTTTCAGCAGTCGTCTTTGGATGGGCAGCTACTGGGGGCCAGTCCGCCGCCGCCGCCGCCGCCGCCGCCGCCGCTGCCCGCCGCCGCCGCCGCCGCCGCCGCTGCCCGCCGCCGCCGCCGCCGCCGCCCCCCGCTGCGAAACCGCCGCCGCAGCCGCAGCCGCAGCCGCTGCCGCCACCGCCGCCGCCGCCGCCGCCGCCGCCGCAGCCGCCGCAGCCGCCGCCGCCGCCGCCGCCGCCGCAGCCGCCGCCGCCGCCAAGTGTACTCTGTATTGTTTTTTGACAGGGATGGTGGGGGGGGGCCGCATCGGGTTGGCTGCGCATGTTCCGAATTTGGAGGCAGAGTGTGTGTTTGTATTGTTTTTTTATAAGGGATGGTGGGGGGGGCATGGACCCTGATTGGCCTCCGGTCGCCTGGGGGAGGGGGTGTTTATTAATAGGGAACAGTGATAAACCCCTCCCCGAAGGGGAAGAAGGAGGGGTGGAAGAGGAAACTCCCTAAACCACCTACGCTCAGAGGGCTGGTGGGATTTAGTACTTGGTGGGGTTGTAGAGTGCGTGCGCGATGCTACCAGCTGCTGGACCGTGGCCCTCATATAACCATGTGAGCAGCCTTGGAGTCAAAAAAGAATGGGCCAGCAAGTCGTCCAGCCAACCAGGAGGCCACAAAGAGATTATTCGACTGGACTGCTCGTGTGACGTACCGTGGTTGCACTGTGCGCTTGAGCTCTGTGATAAGTGCAGCGTTTCTTTGGGCAGACAGCGTCGCCGACCTGTGCCCAAAGCCACTTGATCCCCTCGCGCTTTTCATGGCTTGAAGCGGTGGCGAACGCCTGCAAGTTGGCAGGCGTTTCTGCCGCGGCGGCCGCGAACAGCAGCAGGCAAGGCACCGCCTGCGGCGTACTGGAATATGGAAATATGGAGCAGTGTTTACGCATATGCCCGTAACACATGGGCTGGTACCACATGCCAACGTGAGGGACTCAACATGTTGCTGCAATTTCCTCGGCTCGCCATCGCCAGCTGAGTGACCGCCTGCAGGCCTATGAGCGTCCAGTGCGCTTGCAGGCCATAGCAATGACATCAAGAACCTACGGAATCTGGTAAACAAACATATTTGCAAAAATTGCCGTGCAAGAGAAGAGAAGCAAGGAAGCATAGAGCAGAGAGGAATCGAAGAGGGGGGGGAAGGATTGGAGGAGCAGGGAAGCAGATGGGCAACGAAGAGGGGGGAGGAAGGAGGAGGAGGAGGAGGAGGAGGAGGAGCATGTGCCCGCCTGGAGCAGTGGCGCTCCTTGTGGTAGTGGCGGTGCCCATGGCGGAGGGTCCATCCAGGCGAGATATGCGGCCCCGAGGGATTTCCAGCGACCCCGCGGGGCCCTCCACGGGCCCCCAGGGGCCGAACGTCACCACAATTTTGTGGCCCGAACTGTTCGAGCGCCCCCTGGCGGCCGAGCCCATCGCCTCGCGGGTGGCAGCTGGAGCGGCGGCGGCGGCGGAAGTGGCGGAAGTTGGCGGTGGCGCAGTGGCCCGATGGCCCCCTCGGTCGGCCCTCGACCGACCTCGAACCTCGACCTCGATCGTCGGCCTCGACCCTCGGCTGTCGGCCTCGAGCCTCGTCCTCGATCGCCGGCCTCGGCACGCGCGATCGGTGCCGTCGGCACCCCCCCTCGGCGGCCGGCCCCGCCTCGGCGGGGGGGCGCCCGCGGTGGCGGAGGGGGGTGGCGGTGGCGGTGGTTGTGGGGGCTGCCTGGAATGAGCCCCGAGAAGACCCGGCGTCGTGACAAAGTCGTGTGGCTTGGGCGTTGCGTAATGGAGGGGTCATAAATGGGGGGGTGGCGAGGGTGGTCCGAAAAGGTACCCAAACGGTACCTAAACGAGCCCCCTGGGGGTCCGGAGGGGCTCGAAAGGGGCACGAAAGGGGACCGTTTCTGACCCCCCCTTTATGACCCCCCCATGAAGCCACGCCCAAGTGGCATCGCGGAGAGATCGGGGGCGCGGAAAAGAGGGGGGTGATGGCTAGGGGGGGGTGGATATCACGGCGGGGGCCACGATGTTTCCCCAGATTTCATGGCGCCTGGTCTTGTTTCGTTACGTCCCTGGCCCCCCCGCTGGGCCGCGCACGTGCCGCCGGTCATGATTTGCACCCCCCCCTCTTTGGCGCCCCCCTCTTTGCCGCTCCCGAAGAGAAAGCAAATGCGGCGTCGCAGGGTCGGCGTTCGCGCGTGAGCTGCCGGCGCAAGGCCGCGCATGAGCGCCTTCGCTTCCAACGGAGCGTGTCTCCCTGGCGGCCCGCGTGAGCTGCGGCGTCAGGTAGCTACGCCATCTCGTGTACGACCTGTTTCCCATCGCCGCTCAACGGGAGCCCTACATAACAAAATACGTCAACATAGACTGGCGACGGTCCTCGCGGATTTTCTTGGATCTGCGCAGATCGATGGTCTCATGCCGGCCTGCTGTCCTTCTATACGACGTGGGCTAGTTTTTCTGTGGCAGATCTCGAGCGTGGTCGATCTGTGAGGGCTTCGTGGCCCGCAGCGGGGCCAAGAGCGCCCGTGGGGGAAAACGCGACGCCAGGATCTCAGGTAGGGTTGGGATCCTTGCGCCTCCTTGAACGAAGGATTGTAAAAAAAAACCAGAAAGATTGCAAAACAAACCCAGGATTGCAACAAAAACCGAAGGATTGCAAAAAAACCCTGGATTGCAAAAAAAACAGGATTGCAAAAAAAAACCCTTGAACGAAGGATTACAAAAAAAACCCTTGAACGAGTTTTTTTTTTTTTTTTTTTTTTGCAATCTTTTTTTTTGCAATCCTTGGATCTCCCCCGCAGTGGCAGCGGTGGCCGCAGTGCTTGGCCGGGGGCCGCAGCCTCTGCCCTCGACCCCTCGGAGCCCGGCCTTCGACCCCCGACCTCGATCTCTTCGGCCCTCCCTCTCCGGGCCCCCCCCCCTTGAACGAAGGATTGCAAAAAAACCCGAAGGATTGCAAAAAAAAACCGAAGGATTGCAAAAAAAACCCAGGTTTTTTTTGTGCAATCCTTCGGGTTTTTTTGCAATCCTTCGGGCTTTTTTGCAATCCTTCGCCCTGGGGGGGCAGGCTCCCTCTCGCCGCCCAGATGCAGCGGTGGCAACAGGCTGGCTCTTCCCGAGCCGGCGTGCTCACCGCCCGGGGCCCGGCGAGGGTCCCCGGAGGGGCCGAGAACGGCAGGAGATCTCCGTCCGCATGGTTTCTCGGTTCAGTGAGTCGGGGGATGTGGGGGGCTGAGGATGCGTCGTCATCCAGTGGGATCTAGCTCTGCGAAGAGAGTCACAGCACTGTGAGATCTCACGGCCAGGCTCCTAGTCCCCAAGTCTCTGCGACACCATTCGAGCGGAAACGGATCCGTGCGGGCGAAAATGCCCCGTTTGAAGATCTGGAGACGCGGATCTCAGGGGAGGCGAACGAGAAACGGGAGTAGGACGAGGAAAGAGGGAGAAGAGGAGGATGAGGACGAGGAGGACCCGTGTAAACCCAAGACTCATCGACGATGTTGGGAATAAACTTTTCCTCCAAGCTCCCTCTTTATCGGCCCCTACAAGGATTCATGTCCAATGAGGGAAGTGCCCCGTTGGAAGACAACAGTTTGAATCTCCTGATTCTTTCCAAAACACCATTCTCGGAACTCCAAGGGCACGAAACAGTTTCATTGTTGCGTCTTGACACCCTGAATCGCGCCACAGCACCATGTCTGGGACGTCAATACTGTGAATCAATGTAACTGTTGCGCCCTGACAATCCAGAATCTTTCCAACCCACCGTTTCTGGCACGTTGACCATGGAAATCCGTCAGACCTCTCGCAAATGTTGAAAACGAAAGTGCGCAGCGCTACGGCGATAGCCACACTCTCAAAACCGCCCGCCCACAAATCCGCGAAACTCTTGGACTGTTTAAGACGAATGTGCGCGGCGCTACGGCGAGAGCCACATTTTGGAAGCGGCTTGGCCTCCATGTGTGAAACTGTTGCCAGCTTGTACGGTTCACGTTCACTCACGAGTGGTAAAGAATTCTCAGGCGAAACGCCTGGCCCGCCCCTTCGACTGGCCTCGGGGTGCGACAGGGAGGGTTTATGTATAAGCAGAAGGGATGGAGGAGAAGGAGAAAGAGTACGGAGGACGAAGATGGACGAGGAGGACAGAAGAAGAAGAGGGAAGATGACGAGGAGGAGCAGGAGGGGGAGGAGGACGAGGAGCAGGTGGATGAAGATAGGGGAGGAGGGGGAGGAGGAGGAGCATGAGGAGGAGGAGGAGGAGGAGGAGGAGGAGGAGGAGGCATCAAGGAGGAGCAGGAGGAGCAGGAGGAGCAGGAGGAGGAGGAGGAGGAGGAGGAGGACGCTGCCAGGGCCGCCGCCGCTCCCGCTCCCCGCCGCAGGCTCCATCTCCTCGGCGGGCGGCGGCGTGCTGTCCGCCCCGCGGCCGAGGCTCCGCCCCTGGCCCGCGCACGGCCGGCGCGGCGCGGGCCCCGGCTCGAGCTCCGAGATCGAGTCCCAGGTGACCATCGAGGCGCGCCCCGCGCCCGGCCGGCGGTCGGAGCGAGAGGGGGGCCGCGAGGATCTGCACGGACGAACTGGGTACGGAGGGAATGGGTACAGTGCCCAACAGCAGTTCCTGTTCATTTTGAGCAGGACTCGCTGTCCGCGCCGCCGCGGCCTGTGTCCATTTGAGACAGAAGGCCGCCTGCCCAACAGCGGCCGCTGTTGGTCTGGGACAACATTTGTTGTTGGGCATTGTGCCCATTTTTTCCGTACCCATTTCGGGCGTCCAAAGAGGAGGAGGTCGGGGGCGGAAAAGAGGGGGGGAAGTCATGGCGGGGGCCACGATATATATATATATATATATATTATATATATATATATATATATATATTTCCCCAGATTTCATGGCGCCTCTTCTTACTTCATGACTTCCCTGGCCCCCCCGCTGGGCCGCGCACGTGCCGCCAGTCATGATTTGCACCCCCCCCCCTCTTGGACACCCCCCTCTTGGCCGCTCCCGAGGAGGAGGCCCTCTCGGAGGGCGAAGGGGGCCTCCCAGAGGCACTGCGGCCTTCTGATTGGTCTTTTTTGTGCCTTCGGGGGGGAGGCTCAGAGAGGCTGTCAGCAGCTCGGAGGACTTCGAGCCTCCTGAGAAGGCCCGCCCTCCCTCACTGCCCCACCGGGCTCGCCGCCGATCTGGGGCTCCCAGGTGGGGTCCCGAGATCGAGTCCCAGGGTGACCATCGAGGAGCGCCATAGTCTAAGGCTCCCATGTCGGGTCCCAGTAAATGGGGTCGGGGGATCTGGTCTCAGCTGGCTCTGAAATCGAGTCCCAGGTGACCATCGAGGAGCTTGGAGCCGGCAATTGGAGTCTGAGATGGCCCAGCGTTGTTCCAGCTAGCAGGGAGGGGGTGCAATGTTCGAGGTTGTGGGTTCGGGGCTGTTTTCGGACCCCGGGATCGTCAAAATGGATCCACGGTGAAAAATTGTATGGATCCCGGGAGGGGTCTGTGGATTAGTTTTGATCGGACCTGCCTTTGGCCCTTCCTCCTTGTTTGATGTTCTCGGGGCCCATCCAGGTGAAACCCCCGGCCGCCTCCATCGAGGAGCGCCCTTTTCCAGGGCTCCCAGGGGGGGCCCGAGCAGATGGGGTTGGAGGATCTGGTTTCGTTCGGCCCAATGTTTTGCCAAGTCTGCTGCGGTTGGCCCCGAACTCGGGCTCGATGCTTCTTCCTTGTGCCCACGAAGGGTTCCCGGGAGTTGCCATCTGCCGTGCAAGGTCGAACTCCGCCAGTGACGCAGAATCGTTCGAGATCGAACGATCTGCGCTATCGGAGTGCCGCGATCGCCCAAGGTTGGACGATCAGCGCGGTGTCAGAAACCATTGTCAAAGTCGTCGCGACTCGAACCTGCCATAATCCGAGTCAGCTGCCCCGCCCGCGTCGTCCCAGCCAGGCCCCAGCGTCGTCGATATGGGTGTCCTCAGTGGGCCGGGGGTCTCGCTGAGGACTCCACCCCCAGCATGCGGACTGACCAGCTGACCATCGTGGAGGCGAAGGATTTGAGGGGGGGCAGGAGGGGACGGTGCGGCGCGGGAGGGAGGGGTGGAGGGAGGCCTTCCCATTCACCGCTCACCAGACCACCCCAGCCCAAGCTGAAGGCCCCGATTTGCCCCCAATTTCCAGTGGGGGGGGGTCGGGGAACAGTGAAAAACTACGTATGAAGCCCGTACCCTCCCCCTAACCAAAATTTGGATCTTCGGGTCGGGTTGGGGTGGTCTGGTAGGTAGTCAATCATGTGGCCGTCTGGTGCCTCGAAGCCGTGCGTGCTCGGGGTCAGGGACGAAGGAGTGCAGGCGTTGGAGGTTGGAGAAGATGCTGTCCTTTTAAGGCGTGGTCGTCCCCTAGGTGACCTAGCCTTCTGACAGAAAGAAACAAGAACCGAGGCTCGATGACTTCCACGCTTTTTCATGTCCTGTGGGGGCTTCCTGGTGGCCCTTGTGGCCACGGCTGGGCGAGGCTTTTGAAATACTTGACAGAACGCGCCGGCCCTGGAGGGGCTGGGGAATTGATCCTGAGTTGATTTCGCTATGCTTCGCTGGGGGCAGCGGGGCAGACTTTGCACGCCTCGCGGCGCAGCACCTCGGGGGCTTGGGTCTGCACCAGCGCCTTTCCAGGCGGTCGTGGTTGCACGATGCGTTTGTCCCCGCTCGTACAGACAGACCTTGGTGGAAGACTCAACTGTATGCAGCTGCGGCTAGCGCAGGATATGCATCTCCCCACATAGGCAGAGTGCCACGAGACGGATGGATCCTGGAAGTGTGCAGGTAGGGGGCCACGAAACGTATGTGAGGGGTGTGGTTCAATCAGACAGCGGCGCCATGCGGGCATTGCCAATGGAGCCTTCGATGGAGCTCCGTGTGAGGCCACAAGTGTGATGGGATGCGAGAGCGGAGGTGATGCCGCCCATGCGGGCGCTGTCATTTGGGCCTCTGGTGAAGGTCTGCATTTTGCCACATAGGTGTACCGAACTGGAGGAGGGCGCCGCCATGCGGGTGCTGTCATTCGGACCTTCGGTGGAGCTCCTCCGCACGGGGCCGCGAAGCGCTTGATGGACATGACGGAACGAGGCGCTGGCGCCATGCGGACTTTGCTATGGGGGGCCTCAGGTGGAGCCGACCATGGGGCCACGAGACGCGTGAGGGGTGTGCCGTGTGCCACAGTGGAGGCGGCGCTGCCACACGGGGCCTGCGGGGGGGCAGCGAAGCGCGCGAAGAGTGCACCGAAGTGGAGGTGGCGCCGCCGTGTGGGCTCTGCCCCTTTGGGCCTCCGCTGGAGTGCGGGCGCTGGAGTGTGGGGTCTTCGTTGGAGCTTCCCACGGGGCCACGTGCGTGTGAGGGGTGTGCGGACATGGACATGCGGAACTCATGGGGAGGAGGAGGAGGAGGAGGAGGAGGAGGAGGAGGAGGAGGATGGAGGGCCGAGGAGGATCAAGGGCCGAGGAGGATCAAGGAGGAGGAGGAAGAGGAGGAGGAGGAGGAGGAGGAGGAGGAGGAGAACGTCGAGGAGGAGGCGGCGGAGGAGGAGGAGGAGGGGGAGGAGGAGGAGGAGGAGGAGGAGGAGGAGGAGGAGAAGGCGGGAGTGAGGACGCGGGGGCGCTACTCCTTCAAGGCGGTGGCCCAATTCATAGAGTATTCGGGCAAAACCGTGGCACGTACGACTGTATCATATCGTGGGCATGGTGTTCTTCATGTTGCTAAGGCCTTACGGCCGTTGCCGCCAACCCTGAAGGGGGACGACGACGACGACGACGACGACGACGACGACGACGCTGACGTGGATCAGAGTCCTCAGGGATGCTTCTTGAGGTCTCATCTGAGCGCTCTCGGGTCCTCTGTTGGGACTTCTTGGGAGTCGTCGTGGCGTGATCTCGGGGGCCTCTCGGGTCGTCTTGGAGCGTCGAGAAGCTGAAAAAGCCGGAACGCCAAAATCTGGGAAACATTCATGGCAATCAATGAAGTTTGCTTTGTGGGGCCCTCGTGGGAGTGCTTTTGGAGACCTCTAGGGGCGTCTTCGAGGCTTCTTGGGATTTCTGGAGACTATCTTGGGCGTCTTGGACCGATCGTTCGGCGCTTCGGGACCCTCTTGGACCGTCTTGGGGGCCTCTTGTGGCACTCTTGACCCGTTTTGGCGCTTTTTTGGGTTCCCGGACCCCCCGTGGGATGGTATTCCAACCAAGGACCCCCCCCCCCCTGGGCCCCTCCCCGGGCAGGGAAGGGATCGAAGAGCGTTCCTCGGTTTACGACGTTCCTCAATTGTTTTGTTTTTTGATTCCCGTGGAACTGACGGCCATGACGACGACGACGACTCATTCGGAAAAGCGTCTACCACACGCCGAAGTGTCGACGAATTTCTAGTGCGAGGCCCCCTCCCCTCACTCACAGACTTACTCATGCTCAGACTCACCCGTGCCCTGACTCACTGATTACTAGACTCACTCATAGTTGGACCCATCTGCACTCAGCATTATACATGCGCAATTATGCACTCGCAGTCAAATCCATACGCATTCAACCTTGATATTCCTGACGCGTTCGCGTGTCCCCACAAACCCATCGAGAATCGAGTGTCAGGCGCGTTGCCAGTGTAAACTAGAAGTTAGTGGCTGATTCGAGAATGACGATGGATCCGTGAAGTCAACCAGTCGTCGACCGAAAGCTTGGAATCAGCCTGAACATACCAAATAATGGTGACGAGGGAATTAGGAGGAGAATAGTGGATGAAAGGGGCGACGACAAAGATAGATAACGACCACGAGAGAGACGACAACTACAACGACGACGACGAGCGGGACCAACTTCGAAGGCATACACGGATCTTTCGCGTTAGGAGCATGGTTGAAACCGTCTGGAGTTTCCGTGCAGGCTCACGTAAGGTGGGCAACGTGGCAAAATGTCTGATCCATTGGGGGTCACGTTTGGCCCCCCACCCCTTGGGGGCACTGAAGCCCGCATCGGGCCAAAACGGAGGCCATCCATCAACGGGGGGCCGAATTGGCATCGCCCTGTCGGAGCCTGAAAACTCGCCCGTTCGGGGCGCTCCTGGGACCGCATTCGGGTCTTCTTCTGGACCCCTTATTCGGTTATTTGTGTGTTCCAGGGCCCCCGGGGAGGGGGAGGAGGAGGAGGAGGAGGAGGAGGAGGAGGAGGAGGAGGAGGAGGAGGAGCTGTTCCGACAACACATGTTCGGTGCATGCGGGCGGTAGGCAGAGGGCGGCGCAGTCGGCGGGCAGAGGTGGGTGGCTTTGGGCGGCCTTCCGAGATGCCCCCCCCCCTCCCGGCAGGCGTGGCGGGCAGGGGCTCCTCGAGAGAGCAGGGCCCTTCCGCGGAGTCCCTGCTGTCTTCTGGCGGCGATCCTCCTCCTCCTCCTCCTCCTCCTCCTCCTCCGGCTCCTCCTCCTCCTCCTCCTCCTCCTCCTCGGCGTGGGCGAGCTGGGCGGGCCTCTTCGACCAGGGGTGCGTCAGGAGGGGGTTCAGCCCAATGTTGGATTGGGGAGCGAACCCAGCCTGAGGCTGGCCAGGGGGCAGCCCAGGGTGATTTTTCTCCAGCCCGTCCCCCGGCCCTGCCCCACCTCTACGCCCCCCCCCCGGCAGGAGGCCACCCCGCCTATCAGAGGGCGTGGCGGGTGCGGCTTGGAGGGGCACCTCCCGTCCGAGTGGCCTCCCTGTGGTCTCAGGCGGTGGGCAGGGCCAGCTGGGTAGGGCGAGGCGGGGCAGCATTCTGCACGAGGCCCCGCTCCCGCTGCCTCTCGAGGGCGTGGCGGGCATGGACTCTCGGGGGCCTGAGAGTCAGAGGATGACAACCACTGCCCATCCCTCGTGTCCCCCTTTTCGGCCTCCTGGGAGGCCCTTGCCGCCGCCGCCGGATTCGCCTTGAAATTCTGGTCAGAATGCACCCCAGGAGAGGTCAAGGGGGTCACGGTATCGGAAACAGTTGGTTTTCCAAGAGGCCTTTCGCAAGGCACCCAAAGGGGAGCGATGGACAGCGTCCGTGGGAGGTTGGCCTTCTGGGGAGCCTCCCCCGGATCTCGTGAGGCCTGGCGGGCACGGCCTTTTGCAGGGGCGGGCCCTTCCTGCGTGGCGCGTGGCACCCCCCTTCAGGCATCCCTTCACTGTGGCCCCTGCTGCAGTCCCTGGGGCCCCCCAGAGGGCTTCAGAGGGTCAATGGAAGGCCAGAACCTTTCAGGCAGCTTGCTCCTCCCCACTCCTCGCCACATCTTTCGTGTCGATCGAGCTTCTAGGTTGGGCTTGCTCCCTCGCTCGTATTGTTGCGATGCCACGCCTACTCGTTGTCCACCAGCGTGCCTTCAGCACGTAGTGGAGTGCCGCAAGGCCAGCATAGAGGTAAGCGCCCTCTCTCCCACCTGGCGTACCGCGCTGGTGGCTAAGCCACCGCGTGAGATCGCTATGGCCCCGTGCGGAAAGGCCCGCTGTCTTTTGCCGCCCAGCTGGGGCCGGCCCCCCTGGGCGCCCTGGGCGCCGCGAGGAGGATGGTGGATGTGCCAGCCCGGACCAGCCCCGACCCTGGGCCAGCCAGGGCCGCGTCGCGAACCCTGGCCGGCCGCAGGGCAGCTCGCAGGCTGGGGCAACAGCGGAAGGGGATGCTCGGAGTGATCGCAGGGGGCATCTGCCGGAGACATGGTGACGAAGATGTGTAGGGCTGCTGTCATTTTGGGCCGGACTCGCTGTCGGCGTCGCCGCCGACGCTGTCCATTCGAGGCAGAAGGCAGCCTTCTCCACAGCGGCTGCTGTTGGTTTCGGGCAACTTTGCTGTTGGACATCGTACGCATTTTTGTCCATTCCCGTTTTGGGCGTCCAAGAGGGTGAGGGTGTCGGCTCCACATGTTTCGGGGGCCCCATACGGTCCAGTGATGACACCAGAGGATGCGGCTCTGCGCCAGAGCCTGCGCGCGCTAGTCGGCCGCAGCGATGCACCAGCCAGCGCCAAGCAGTCATGGCAATGGCCGCCGCATGGGTTTTGCAAACCATTTTGCGGGTGGGCTGGTGGGATGAGCAGCGGAGCTGACATTTTCAGAGTCGGCATGGTGAATTGCACCACATGTGTCACACCACGTCGGGTGCACAAGCGTCGATGCCACCACATACATTGCATCACCTCGATTGAACCACGTACATCGCGCAGCACCAATTGCACCACATCAGCCTGCGCAACGTCTCTTGCGCCGCATAGACTGCACCACACATAGGCTGCAAAAACACAGACTGCACGACATGGCTTGCACGACCCAAGCTGCAGAGCGCAGGCTGCACCACAGCAGCTGCTCCGCGCAGCTTGCTCCACGCAGATTGCTGAAGCACGCCGCCTGGGCTCCACGCTGGCGCCAACGCCTAGCAGCGCCAGGATAGCCAGGACGGCCGCCCCCTGCTCGAGCGCGGGCCCCCGCAGCGCGGCGCGCCCGAGAGGACATTGTCCTCTGCCCTCTGCTGGTCGTGCCGGCCAACAACCGCTGCGCGCCGCCCTCGGCAGCCCGCCGGGGCCGGAGGAACGGCAGCTCCGCGCCTGGAGGCTCTGGAGCACCCCGCCAGCGCCAGGGGCGTGGGCGCCGAGGAGGAGGAGGAGGAGGAGGAGGAGGAGGAGGAGGAGGAGGGAGGAGGGAGGAGGGGAGAGATTCTGCTTGCATGTATGTCGTTGTTTGGCGGTGCGCGCCAAGGGCGGGGCGTCACGTCTTTCGGAAGATCCCCTCGCGTGTCCGAGGGCTCTTTGGATGTCTGCCAGCCCCAGGCTGCCCTGTCGGCTAGTGCCTCGCCAAAGGCCCTCCTGGTGGCTCCCAGGATCGGGCACGCGCGGCCGTCTCGAGGCCTGATCACTGATCCTGTAGCCCAAAGGCCGAATTGGAGGCGTCCAGGAGGGTGCTGAGGTCCATGGGCCAGGCTATCTGCCCGAATTTCGTGGCCCCCTCTTCTTTCAACACGTCCCTTGGCCCCTATCCTCGGCCGCGCCAATGCCTCGAGCCATGATTTGCAACCCCTCCTCTTGGACGACCCCCTAGATTGCACTCAAAATACGCTTCGTGGCCCCGCTTCGGGTTCCTGAGCTCTCACATTTTGATCCTGGTCGGCATATCAAGTTGATAACGAAAGTTGACATAGAAAAGCCAGCCAGTATTGGTCGTGTTTTTCGTTACGCAGTGTTTTTTTTCCCACGACGTCAGATTTCGGGGTCATCCCCCTCTTTCTTTTCACGTCCGAATTTCCATGGTATTGCAGCCATGCGATTTCTGTGACCAACGAGAGCTCGGAAGCAGCGACTGTGTCTGGATCGTTCGTGAGACAGCTCTCGAATAAATGTTTGCAGGAATTTGTGTTCTGATAGGTGTTGCATGTCTACTTGCATGGCCTTTCCATCTTCTCTCCCCCTTCTTCCGCTCTTGGGCAACGTTCTCGGGCTCCCGTTCTGCTCGCTTCTGGCCTCAGGCTGCCTGGGGAACCATGAAGACCTCCCTAAACCCTTAATAAGGCCATGCGCTGACGAGGGCTGGAGCGGAGCCCCACGATGTCAGCTTCGTCTGGCCTTCTCTGGTGGGCTAGCTCGCTGTTGACGCCTTTGCCAGGGCACATCGATGGACATCGGACAATGCCGTCGCCACTAGGAGTCAAGCGACCCATTTATCGCACCTCTGGGGTTCCATGCAAGCGCCCCCTTAGGAGGTTGTTTTTTACTCGTTGAACTCGTACCATCTGTTACGGGGGGGGTCCTCCGAAACGGTAACGAACGTAACAGAGAGGGGATCCCAGTCCCCCACAGCTATGGCGCCGTGTTCGCGGGCATGGTGCGGTGCTGACAGGCACCGGAGAGCTTCCACACGCTTCCAGAGGAAGCCGTCGTCGTCATCCTCGTCGCCGTCGTCATCACCCTCGCCGTCGTCCTTGCCGTCGTTGCCGCCGTCGTCGTCGTCGTCGTCGACGTCGCCGCCGTCGTGGCCGCCGTAAACCATGAATGTCGGCATCGTCGTTCTCGTCCTCGATCCTGTCGTCGTCGTCGTCGTCGTCGTCTTCGTTATCGTCGTTGTCGTCGTTGCCGACGTGTCCGAGGGCCTCGCAGGGCCTGCAGACGCTTCCAGAGGCTTCGGACGTCTTCCTGAGACCTCCAGAGACTTTTGTAGACCTTGAGAGGTTATCGTCGTCGTCGTCCTCGCCCTCGTGCTCGTCCTCGTCGTTGTCAGCATCGTCGTTGCCAAGAGCCTGGAAGGTCCTCCAGACGCCTCCAGTGGCTTCTGGAGACCTCTGATGACCTTCAGAGGCTGTCGTCGGCGGCGGCGTCGGCGTCGGCGTTGTCATTGTTGTCGTCGTCGTCGTCGTCGCTTTTCGTCTTCGTCGTCATTGTCGTCCTTGCTCTTGTCGTCGTCGTCGTCCACGTCCTCGTCATTGTCCTTGTCGTCGTCGTCGTCGTCCTTGCTCTCGTCATGGTCGTCGTCGTCGTTGTCGTCGTCGTCGTCGTTGCGTGTATCGTCATCGTCCTCCCCGTCCTCGTCGTCGTCGTCGCTGTTGTCTTCGGTTTCGTTGTTGTTGCCGTCGTCGTCCTCGTCGCCATCATCGTCCTCGTCCTCGTCCTCGTCGTCCTCGTTCTCGTCATCGTCGTCCTCGTCCTTGTCGTCGTCGCTTGTCGTCTTCGTCGTCGTTGCGTCCTGACTCTTGTCGTCGTCGTCCAAGTCCTCGTCCTTGTCCTTGTCGTCGTCGTCGTCGTTGTCGTCGTCCTTGCTCCCGGCGCGCTTTGGGGTCTTCTTGGAGCCTTCCTGGGAGCTCTTGGACAATCTTGGGGTCCTCTCGGGCCGTCTTCGGCTGCCGGACATCCAATCCGATGGGACTTTCAGATTCTACCAAACAATCTAGTAGATCTCTGTTGAGTTGGGTTCCCAGGGCTCTCCAGGAGGGAATCTTACGGCCGTCTTGGGAGATTATTGAGCCGTGTTCGGCCTTTTTGGGCCGTCTTGGCGTAATCTTGGCAGCCATGGAAGCCTGGAAACCGTGTTTGAGGCCATCTTGGCCGTTGAAGACCGAACATAACGAATATACATAATTAAACCAATTCTACTAGATACCAGAGGCGCATTCTAAGACGTGCCATCGGGTACACGGCCTGGTGGCGGGTTTCGGATTCTAACGGACCAGAGGGCCCTCCGCTCAGTCCATCGCGGCACTGTGGTGGACAATTCCAGCAGGCAAGACACCGTTGTGGAGCAATTGCGAACCGACACATGATGAGAAGAGCTGTGAGGGCGAGATAAGCATGGAACCGTGGAAGCGCGTTGGGATCATGAGCGCTGGACGAAGCCAATCTAGGATAGCCATGCAGTCAAGCGCATGAGCCACACGCTAAGCAATGAGTTGCAGAGAGTGTTGTACACTTCGACAGTTCTCGTTGTCTTGAAACGGCCCCGTGAACGACTGGTGGCATGAGTGCAGGAGTAGCGAGGTTGATTTCGAGGCCCAGTCCAGTTCAGAACTCAGCCTTGCATTCGTGCAGGGGGTCCACTTCAGCGAGTGATCTGGACTGGGACGGGTCGAGAATTCAAACTCGTCTACGTCCGCGTGGCAGCGGGGCAGGAGGTCGGCTTCGCGCCCCGCCGCACTTCAGCTGGGCCTCGTGGGGCGCCTTCGCAACTCTTGGCCAGTTTGGCGCCTCTGCAGGCCGTCCTGGGGGCCTCTCCCGATTTGGGGCGCCTCACAGCTGCCTTGAACCTAAATTAGAGGTGTTTTGGGGCCGTCTTGCTCCCCCTCCTCCGTCTCCTCCTCCTCCTTCTCCTCCTCCTCCTCCTTCTTCTCTTCCTCCTCCTCCGCCTCCTCCTCCTCCTCCTCCTCCTCCTCCTCCTCCTCCTCCTCCTCCTCCTCATGGACATCAGCGGTCTTTGCATCCTGAGGCATTTGTGCGGCCTCTGGGGAGCTTGGGCCTCCCAGGGACCTCTCAGGATCCCCCTTGGGGCCTCTTGGGGCCGTCTTAGACAGCTCGTGGCCCGTCTGACCCCTTCGGAGGCCGTCTCGGGAGCCTCTCTGGGCCGTCTCGGTGCCCTCTTGGAGCGCTTGAGGGCCGTCTTTGGGCTCTCTGTGAAGCCTCTTGGGTGATCTCGGGGTCCTCGTTGACCGACTTGCGGCCCTCTTGGGAGCCTCTTGGGCTGTCTTGGAGCTACCTTGGAGGCCTCTTGGGCCGTCTTGGGCGGTTGGAAATCCAAACAGGCGAGAACCCAGTACTCCTTCAGCAGCCGCTGGAGTCTCGCTAGTGTTTGCCTCTTCGGGCCCTCCCCGAGGGCCTGTCTGAGAGCCCTCTGGAGAGCCTACTGGGCCGACCGAGTGCCATCTTGGTGGTTGTCTTGGAAGCCGTCTTGGAAGCCATGTTGGCCCGTCTGCAGCCCGAGCAGAGCGTTTGAGGACAAATTGCAGGAGGGGGGTACGAGGTTTGGACCACGCACGTTCCGAGGCGTGGGGGGGACAGTCTAACACGCCCGTTCGTTCTGGCACGGTGGCCAGTGTCCGCACGTGCCATCAGACATGGTCCCAGAATCTCGTGTGCAATGTAAAGGCTTGGGATGTGATTTCAAAAACTTGTGTCCCACACCTATAGCGTGCCTCTCCCTCTCTGTCTCTTTATTTTCAGATACGCATGGTTTTAAGTCTACGTTTTTTGTCCCACGCACCACCATATATGTACGCAGATTTGTACACATACCATCATATCTTAGATACGCATATTTATACACAGTTACATACATGTATGTAATTCGCAGTCCCTTCAGGGAGCAGCGATGTCTTGGCTGGACGTGCGCCCTCCCTCGGCTGGGCCTCCCAGGAGCCCACAAGAGTGGCCACAACATCGCGATTCGCAGTCCCCCAGGGAGCTGCGAGGTCTCGGCTGGATGTGCGTGCTCCCACTCTGGTTGGCATCCCAGGAGCCCACCAAAGTTGCGTCAGTTGCGCAACGTGGCGACAGTTGCGCATGTCCCGGCAACCCCAGGAAGCTGCCAATTCTCGGCTAACTGTGCGTACTCCCCCCCTCCGCTGGGCCTCTCAGGAGCTCAGCGAACGCGAGGAGGAGGTGGAGGTAAGAGGACGGAGACCACAGTGCTCTATCCAAAAAGGGGAAACCCACCATTGGAGGTTGGGAGTCACTGTTTGTGGCACACGCTGGATACCATGATAATGCAGCCCTACTAGACAACCCTTGGCATTCTTCCACGCCTCAACATGCACAAGGCACGGTGGCGGACGTGGAATCATCCTCGCTTCGCGTATCCCCTCCTGCCCGTGCAAAAACCTAATTGGCGGGAAAATGTACGAATAACGAAACACAGCTCGGCGGACACATGGAACATGGGAACGAGGGGAAGTGGATGAGGAGAAGGATGTGGAGGAGGGGGAGGAGACCAACCGCCTCTTGGGGTCCTCGTGGGACGGTCTTGGGGCGCTATTGGGCGCTCTTGGGGCCGCCCTGGGGCCCTCTTGGGGCCCTCTTGAAGGCACTGAAAGGCCTCTTGAGGTCCTCATGAAGGGCGTCGATCATAGGAGGGGGGGGGTCCTAAATGTCCCTCAACCCCTCTCCTGAGGAGCCCCTGGCACACCGCGACCCCCCCAGCAAAAACCTAACGGAGGGGAGTGATGGTACCCCTCCCCCGAAGAGGGCTTTGGAACATGAAAGACGAACTCTCTAGACCACCTTCACCCAAAGGGCTGGTGGGGTTCTTCACATGATCGGAGCCCTGAGATCTGATCCAATCTATCGTGGACATCAGCGCCAGTGGTAGTGTGGACTAGCACGTCGGATTTAATTTGATTTCGCAGCATCCTGTTTGTTTTTTGCGTGTTTGCTCAGAAGCCGTTGTGGCAACGTGTTGGATCGCCTGTCCTCGCATCATCGTTACCACCATTCCCGCCGGCATCCTCTTCTCCCTCTTTCTCCATCCCTCCTCCACCACCTTTCCGCACGTTCCTTTACTCATTTTCTCATCCCTCCTCACTCCTCCTCGCTTCCTTCCGCCCTCCTCCGCCTCTCTCTCTATTCTTCCCTTGATTCCTGGGCTGCGTCGCACGTGTGGGTCAGCGAGAGAGGAGCAGTGGAGTGATGCTGGCGCAACCGCTTGATCACAGATAGGGAGGAGGAGGAGGAGGAGGAGGAGGAGGAGGAGGAGGAGGAGGAGGAGGAATGGAAGGAGGAATGGAACCAGGAGGAGGAGGAGGAGGAATAAGAGGAGAATCCCAAGGCCTCCGCTCTTCCGGAGCCGAAGCCCGCGCAAAGACCCCGCCCGGCCCGCGCTGCTGCCCCCCGGCGGTGCGCGCACCGTGCGGCCGTGGCCTCGCCTGCGGCCGCAGCGGCGGCGCCGGCGCGCTCCGCAGGCGGGGCCGGCCCCTTTGTCGCCGCAGAGGCCGTCGCAGGCCCAGCGGGGCGCCGCCACGTGGCTGCCAAGCGGCTGCCCGTACGCGCTGCTCGGGGGCTCCTCCTCCTCCTCCTCCTCCTCCTCCTCCTCCTCCTCCTCCTCCTCTCCTCCTCCCTCCTCCCTCCCTCCCTCCCTCCCTCCCTCCCTCCCTCCCTCCCTCCCTCCTCCTCCCTCCCTCCCTCCCTCCCTCCCTCCCTCCCTCCTGCCGCCGGGGTGGGGGCCCAGCGCGGATTTCTGGGATCCGCGCTGGGCCCGCACCCCGGCGGCGGCGCCCCTGGCGCCGCGCTCCGCGCGCCAGGGAGGGGGGGTCCAGCGCCGATGCGAGAAATCCGCGGTGACCTCCGAGTTTTTATGTTCATGTTATTCTTCGCTCCCCTGGCTCCGTGCGCGGCGCTGCGCCGCCTGCACGCGCGCGCGCGTCTGCTGCAAACGCTGTCGGGCCCTTCGAGGGAGCAGTCCCGCACAGCACCTGCCGCGCCCGGTCGGCCCAGATGTGCACCGTCTCGCGCTTCGCATGCCTGCCTCGGGAGCCTGAGGCTGCATCACAGCACCCGGAGGACCTGCGTGTTTCGGCAGCGACTCTTGGCAGCCTCGCGTACCCTCGCAAGTCCGTCTTTCGAGTGCGTCAGCGTCGATTAGCATATGGTAATCGATGAGAGAGCGACGATTAGGCATTCATTAGCACCGATGGGCGTCGATTTGGCGTCGATCCAGCGTTGATTCGCAAGAGCCAACGAGATGGCATGGGATGCCCCGTGACTTGCCACAGAACCTTCCCTTCTCTTCGGCCGTCCCTCCGTCGTCCCCGCCTCGTCACACTCTCAAGTCGTACCTCCGTGGCCCAGGTGCCGCTCCGACCGCGGCTCGGGCGTCCCGTTCGGGACAGGAAGGCGCGCTCCCCAAATCGCCGTCGAACCCCTCCCTCGATGTCTGAGATCCTGGAGGGGACGGGGGGCCAAAGAGTCGCCGGCAGAGGGGGCCCCCGGGCAGGGCCCGGCGACAGCCGGCCGAGGCCGACAGGTCTCGCGCGCCTGGCGGCCTGGCGCCTGCCACCGGCAGGGGGTGGACTCGAGGCCGCACAGGGGGGCGGGGGAATTCGCAATCACAACCTTCAGTGATGGGCCTGTTTTCCACCACCACCACCATAAGCTGGAAGGGGGAAAGAGGAGGAGGAGGACGGAGAGGAGGAGGAGGAGGAGGAGGAGGAGGAGGAGGAGGAGGAGGAGGAGGAGGAGGAGGAGGAGGAGGAGGAGGAGGAGGAGGAGGGGGAGGGGGACGAGGAGGAGGAGGAGGAGGAAGACCCCCTCCCCCTCCAACTCATGGTGGTGGTGGTGGTGGTGGTGGGAAACAAGTCCATCATTCAGCCCAGTGCTCAAGCCAGGCTGAGTACAGGCAGGAGGATACATCAGACACAGACCGGCACACAACGTTGGGGCGCGTGTTTGCGAGGGCGACGGCTTAGAGACAGCAGAAAGATCACCATCTCAGTTCACGTCCTCATGCATTTCGCGTCTCAGTGTGAACCTGCTTCTCATCACAGGGGGGGGAGAAGGGGGGGGGCGAGGCGGGCGAGGGCGCGGGCGAACCACGTTGCTTTGGGGTGGCGCTTGAGGTGTGCCTGGTTACCATGTGCGCGACCAACGTTCAGCAGGACGCCACCCGCAGTGCCTCACTGCCCTCGTCTCTCTCTCTCTCTCTATTTCTCTCTCTCTCTCTCTGTCTCTCTCCTCATCCTTCTTCCCCCCTCCTCCTCCATCCCTCCTCCTTCCTCCTCCTCCCTCCTCCTTTCCCTTCCCCTTCCCCCTCCTCCCCTCCTCTTTCTCCTCCTGCTCCCCCAGAGGGCGGGGGGCGGCCAAGAGAGGTAGGAAGGAGGACGAGGTGGTACGGGTCGGATGAGGGGAGGAGCGAGGTGGCAAACGGGTGATGACTAGATGAGGTGGATCGAAGAAGAGGAAACGCCATAAGCATAAACTTGTGGCGCTCTGCGCGGATTTCTCGGATCCGCGTTGGCCCCCCCCCTGGGCGCGCTCCGCGAGCCAGGGAGGGGGGTCCAGCGCAGATCCAAAAACTCCGCGCGGAGCGCCACAAGTTTATGTTTGTGGCGTTGTTTCTTCGTCTAGTGGAGGAGGTGGGGGTTTCGCTTGCCTCGTTTTTGAGTAGGTCGGGCTGGGCACGCGTGGCTGGCGGGGGGGGCGCGTTGGGGGGGGGGCCTCAGTAGACAACCCGATAACCGGCTGTCTCGTATGATGCGCCGAGAGACGTGTCTGAGGGCTCAGGTTGCGAGCTCTTGTAGCCCCCCCATCGTTGCGCCCCCGCTGCTGGTGGGAGAGGTGCAGGGGGAGAAGAAATAGTTATCTGCGAGAGTGGGAGAGGCAACGGGTGAAGATGAGGAGGGTGTAGGAGCGCAGGAGGGCGCCAAGCGAGAAGCCTGCTGCTCCCGCGCACGAATAAGTATGTTGCCATCGCCCGGCCTTCGTGCCGTTCCCATGTTGTCCCCCTTTCCCCGCGCCCCTCGCCCTCCCTCCTCTGAGTTTCAAGATGCGGTCATTCAATTCAATCAGCGCCGCGCACACCCGTCGCGAACGCATGCAAAAGTTTCACGGATGGACGGCGGGTCCTTTTTCAGCATGTGGTGATCGTCTCAGCGTCGTGCGCATTCATCTGTAAGAGTTTGTGAGCGATTTTCTTGAATGGGGCGCGGGTTTTTTCAGAATGTGTTTCTCGCCCTAGGGCCACGCGGATTCGTTTGAAACGGTTGCAAGAGTTACTTTGATGGACGGCGGGTCTTTGTCCAAATGTGGTTTTCGCCTTAGCGCCGCGCGCACTCGTTTTTAACGCATGAACGAGTTTGCAAATTGAGGGCGGGCCATTTTCGAAACGTGGCTCTCGCATTAGCGCCGAGCACATTCGATTGAAATGGTTGCAACAGTTTCACGGGTGAAGGGCGGGTCGCTTTCATAATGTTGTTCTCGTTTCAACGTCGCGCACATTCGTCGTACAAGTTTGCAAGAGTTTTACAGAAGGAGGGCGGGTCTTTGTCAACAGGCGGTTCTTGCTCTAGCGTCGCGCACACTTGCTTGGAAATGTGGCAAGAATTTTGCGGATGGGGGGTGGGCCTTTTTCAAAATGTGTTTCTCGCATCAGCGCCGCGCGCATTCGCGTTAAGGGCGGGTCTTTTTGAACATGTGGTTGTTGTTTTGGTGCCGCCCACATTTGTTTTGAAGGTTGCAGCAGTTTAACGGATTGAGGGCGTTTCCATTTCAGAATGTTGATGGGTTCCACGTGAAATAGTCATTGTGCCACCATGCGTTTTCCTTATTGCTCGTGCGCGCTATCGCGTGTGCAGTACAAGGACTTATGACGAAATGACCTCCGAATTTCGAAAATTGAATGATGAAACAATTTTCTGAGGGCCCCTACGTGAAATACGGCATTATGATGCCATACGCGTTTCTTGATTGCCTGGGGCATGACGGGCGTCATGGCCCCCGCCGCCCACCCCCCCAATGACGTAACGCTCCCCCCCCCCCAGTGCGTTCCAGGCACTGCCGCCGTGCACATCGGAATCTGCATAGGCGTCCGCTTCGGAATCCGCATAGGAGTCTGGTCCGCAGTCGTCGTCGTCGCCGCCGCCGTCGTCGTCGTCGTCGTCATCGTCGTCGTCGTCGTTGTCGTCGTCGCTCGTCGCTTATCGATCGTCGTCGTCGTCGTCGTCGTTGTCGTCGTCGCTCGTCGCTCGTCGCTCATCGTCGTCGTGTGCGCGGACGCGGCTGGAGCCTGTTTTTCTATTCCCGGCCGATGACGGCAATCATTTGGGGGGGAGGGGGTTGATGACGTCACGTTTCGCGCCGGCGGCGTTTGGGAAACTTTGGGAATGACGGAGGACGGGTAGCAGCAGCGTGTAGGCGGCGATCTGCACGACAGCGCCTGTGTACACAGTGCCTGCGTGCACCACAACGCCTGTGCAAAACACACTGCCTATGTACACCACAGCAGCCGCGTGCAACGCAGCGCCAGTGTGTGCCACAGTGCCTGCGGGTACCACAGCGCTTGTGTACACGGCAGCGCCTGCGTACACCACATCAGCAGTGTGCAACACAGCACCAGTGTACACCCCAATGCTTGCGTGCACTACAGTCAGCGCCTGCGTACACCACATCAGCCGTGTGTAACACAGCAACCGTGTGAAATTGAGCACCTCTGTTGCATATAGAAGTCTTGTCGCCCCCCCCCCTCAAAGATCAAACATACTCCTGCTTATCCTGGTCAGATTCGTCTTCGTCTCCGTTTTTTTTGTTGTTCTCTCTCTCTCTCTCTTTCTCTTTCTCTTTCCCTCCGTCCCTCTCACTTTGTGTTTCTCTCTCTCTCTCTCTCCTGTCTTTGCCTCTGTCAGAATGAAACGCTGTGTTTTCCATATTCCCCAGCTGTGCCAGCTTTTCCCAGAGGCTACCCCAATGAAAAACGCTGTTAGTTGCAGCTTTCCCATTTTTTCCCAGAGACTACCCACTGAAAAACGTTGTGTGTTTTCAGTAGTTCCAGCTTTGCCAGCTGTTCCCAGAGACTACCCTAGTCAAACACTGTTGTTTAGCTGTTCCAGCTTTTCCGACAGACTATCCCAGTGAAAGACATTGTGTGTTTCCAGCTTTCCAGCGTTATTCCAACAACAGATTATATCAGTGAAAAGCGATGTTGTTTTTTAAGCTGCTCCAGCTTTTCCGAAATATTACCCCAGTGAACAGCGATATGTGTTCCAGCGTTTCCATTTTTCCAGTTTTTCGCAGTGATCACGCGGTAGGGTGCTCCAGGGTGGTCCAGGGCAGGGTAGTCTATGTTTGAATGGGGTAGTCTGTGGGTAAAGGCTGGAAGCGCACAAAAACACAATGTTTTTCAGTGGGGTAGTCTCTGGGAAAAGCTGGGAAAGATGAGACAGCTGGAAAACACATGGTTGTCTCTGGGACAAGCTGGACAAGCTGGAGATCACAGCGTTTGTCATTGGGGTAGTTTCTGGGACAAGCTAGACAACATATAGTTTTTCAGTAGGGTAGCCTCTGGGGAAAATAGGAAACGCTGGAAACCACAATGCTTCTCAGTGGGGTAGTCTCTGGGAACAGCTGGAAAAGATGGGAAAGCTGGAAAACACGTAATTGTTCAGTGGGGTTGTCCTTGGGAGAATCTGGACAAGCTGGAGAGGACAGCGTTTTGCACTGGGGTAGTCTCTGGACAAATCTAGACAGCATATAGTTTGTCAGTGCGGCAGCTTCTGTGGAAAAAAACGTGGAAACGCTAGAACACACATAGTGTCTCACTGCGGTTGCCTCTAGGAAAAAGCTGGAACACACACTTTCATGTGGTAGTCCCTGGGAAAAGCTGGAACACAAGCTGGGCAACACAACTTTTTTCACTGGGGCAGTCTGTGGGGAAAGCTGGAGAGGCGGGAAGAGCTGGACGACGCAACGGTGTTCAATGCCAGCCACATGATTTGTCTTCGTCTCCGTCTTCTCTCTCTCTCTCTCTCTCTCTCCGTCCCTCTCATGTTGTGCTTCTCTCTCTCTCTCGTGCCTTGCGTCTGTTAGAATGAAACGCTATGTGTTCCTGCGTCCCCAGCTGTGCCAGCTTTTCCCAGAGGCTACCCCAATGAACAACGATGTGATTTCCCGATTGCCCAGCTTTCCCCAGAGACTACCCCACTGAAAAACGTTGCGTTTTCCAGCTTCTCCAGCTACTCCCAGAGACCACCCCAGTGAACAACGCTGTGTGTTCAAGCCAGTGTTCCCCAACGGCTATCCTAGTGAGAATGTTGTGTTCCCAGCTTTTCCAAAAAAAAACGGCTCCAATGGAAAACGCTGTGTTTTCCAGCTTTCCAGTTTTTCCCAAATACGATCCCCGTGAAAAACATTGTTTGTCCAGCCTTTTCCATGCTTTCCAGAGACTGCGCGGCGGGGTGTTTCAGGGTGGTCCAGGGTAGCCTGTCGGGAAAATTTGACAAGCTGGAAATCAAATTGTCGTTTATTAGGGTAGTCTCTGGGAAAACCTGGGAACCACATAGTTTTCCAGTGGGGTAGTGTTTGGAAAAGCTGGAAAAGGTAGAACAAACATAGTTGTCATCTGGGTTGTCCCTGGGAAAAACTGGAAAGCACATAGTTTGTCATTTGGAAGTCTCAGGGACAAGCTGGAAATTACCCTAGCGACGTACCCAACCCCAGCGCGATGCGGGGCATGAGTAGCTCGGGCGACTCTATAAGGGTGTGATGACGAGACATGGACGTATGTATTTCTGCGACCAGCATTTGGGAGGTCCCATTTGAGTCCGCCGCGGGGCCCCAGTATGCTGGCCCCCCCCCCTAGCAGGCCTCGAAAGTGGCGACAGTGTCACTGTTCGCAGCCCCCCAGGGATGGCGACGTCGAATTTGAATCTGCGTAGGACGTCACTGCGCTGGACCACCCAGCAAGCCTCGAAAGTGGCGACAGTTTCACTGCTCGCAGCCCCCCAGAGATGGTGAGGTCTAATTTGAGTCTGCGTAGGACGTCACTGTGCTGGACCCCCAGCAGGCCTCGAAAGTGGCGACCGTTTCACAGATCGCAACCCCCCAGGGATGGTGAGGTCGAATTTGAATCTGCACAATACGTCACTGTGCCGGACCCCCCAGCAGGCCTCGAACGTGGCAACAACATCACAGATCACAGCCCCCAAGGGATGGCGAGGTCGAGATTGAATCTGCGTAGGACGTCACTGTGGTAGATTCCCCAGCAGGCTTCGAAAGTGGCGACCGTTTTACTGATCGCAGCCCCCCAGGGATGGCGAGGTCGAATTTGAATCTGCGTAGGACGTCACTGCGCTGGACCACCCAGCAAGCCTCGAAAGTGGCGACAGTTTCACTGCTCGCAGCCCCCCAGGGATGGCGAGGTCCAACAGGAGGCAGTAGGGAGGTGGGAGGAGGAGGACGCGACAACAGTCCTCTATTCAAAACGAATACCCAACCAAGGAGGGTTGGGAAAAAAGCTAGACAACACAACGTGTTTCACCTTCCCTCCTCCTCCTCCTCCTCCTCCTCCTCTTCGTCCTCCTCCTCCTCACCCCTCCTACCTCCAGCGAGTGTGCGCTCGAAGCACGCACGTCCCAGAGGAACCGTCCCAACACCTCATTTCCACGATGCCCTGGCCCGGAGATACTCTTTCAAGGGCCTTGGGACCTCAACACACAAATTAAAAACAAGTCCATCGCTTCCTGGTTCAATACCACGAACAGCTGAGAAAATTAATGGGCCCCGCGGCACGGACCCCTTACGATTCAGCGCCGATGAAGCTAGGAGCACGAGCCCCGAAGGGTTCAGCGCCACAGGCACGATCCCCAACGGGTTCAGCGCGGATGAAGCTAGGAGCACGAGACCCGAAGGGTTCTGCGCTCGAAACTTTTCTGGCGCGAGCCCCCAAGGGTTCAGCGCCACAGGCACGAGCCCCGAAGGGTTCAGCGCCAGATGTATGATTTGTTTTTTTGGAGGGGGGCAACCAGAATTTTCGAGGGAATCTGCGTGACAGAACGGAACGCCTGTGGATTCCACAGGAAAAAAATCTTTATACAGGATCTGGAAGGGAGTCCTTATGAAAAAGGGAGCGCCGCTGGAATCTACGAGTCCTCCAGAGTCCGCTCGCATCATCCTAACTCCTCCGATTTGGGTCCAGGAAGCTCCAGCAAAATAGGCCGTCCGAGAACCAAGTGGATTGATTAAATAGACCATCCTGCGGTGCACGCTGAGATGCGCACGTGTGTTGCAGTGCGGACCCGCACCACAGGGGGTTCGGTGAGGGAGGAGTCGGAGGTTGAGGAGGAGGAGGAGGAAATGGAGGTGGAGGAGGAGGACGGAGGGAAAAACGTCGCATTCTATTGTCAGCACTTCCCTGGCGTGGCCTTTAGCTGTCCGCAGCAGATCCTCACATACATGCTTCTTCTGCCTGTCCTGTGCACAGGCACTGTGGTGTACACCAGCGCTGCTTTGCACGCGGATGCTGTGGTGTAGACAGGCGCAGTGGTGTGCGCAGGCGCTGCGCGGTGCACGCAAGCATTGTGGTGTAAACAGGCGCTGTGTTGCAAATGGTTACTACGGTGTGCACATTCGCTGTGGTGTACACCGGCGTTGTGGTGCACGCAAGCACTGTGGGGTACACAGGTGCTGCGTTGCACACGGATGTTGCGGTGTACGCAGGCGCTGTGGTGTACAAGCTCGCCGTGGTGCACGCGCGCACTGTGGGGTACACAGGCGCTGTGGGCCAGATCGCCGCCTACATGCTGCTCGCGTCGTCGTCGTCGGCGGCGTCGTCGTCGCTCGTCAGCCCCCGCTCGTCGCGCATCGTCGTCGTGCGCGCTGGCGAGACTGGTGCCAGAGCCACACGGCGGGGGGGAGCGTTACGTCATACTCCCCCGCCGCCTCCCCCCCCCCCTCATGACGCCCGTTATCGCCGAAAATAAGGAAACGCGTAACATTGCTCGTGCGCGCGCTTGCACGCGCGTGCGCGCGTCCCCGCGGGCGCAATGCAAACACAATTAACGAATGGCGATCTCAATCACGTCGTATAATATATTGTGACACCCTGCGCGTTCCTCGTTGCCCGCCCGCGCGTGCGTGCGCGCGCGTGCGCGCGCCGTCTATTTCGCAATAAACACAGCCAAACAACATGACCATCTTAATTTCAGGAACTGAACAGGGAACACCTAGCTTTTTCATTCGTATCCCTGGGGGGAACGTGAACTAATGCACTGCGACACCGTGCGCTTTCCTTGTTTTCCGTGGGCGCGCGTGCGCGCGCTCCCGCGTGCGGAATATAGCACCGGTGCAGAATGTTCACTGTAAATTCGACGTTTGAACGGAGGAACCCAAATTGTACACTCGTAGTCCATGGGCGTCAATTTCGAACGATGCATTGTGACACAATGCGCGTTCCCCATTGCCCACGCGCGCGTACGCGCTCCCAACGCAGACACAGATACACAATCGCCACCTGATCTTCGAACGCTGAACGGTGGAAGCCAGGTGTTTCACTTGTATCCTGAGGGCCTCAACGTGGAATAGTGCATTGCGGCGCGCTGCTGCTCCTCATTGTTCGGACGCTCGCGTTCGCGCGTTCCCGCGCGCGTAGTACAACATCCAATCCATAATAGCCATACCAAGTTCGATAACTGAGTGGTGGCAATCCATTGTCTCAAGGGTATTTTGAGGGATTCGGCATGGACTAGTCCACTGCGGAGCAATATTCTCTGCCCTTTGCTTGCAAGTGAGCACGCGCGCGCGTGCGCGCGCGTGCGAGCAATGCGGGACAGTATTGCGCCACAGTGTCTTGTTCCACGTTGAAGCCCCCAGAGTATGAGTGAAACGACTTGTTTAAACCAACCAGTTGGCGAAGCTCATACTTATGTGTTTTCCCAACCATCCATCCTTTGGTGTTGGGTCGTCGTTTTGAGGAGACCTTGCGCCACATAGCTTTCACATTCACTGTGCAACAGTTTACTGTTTGGAGTCGACGGTGGCACACATGTAGAGGTCGGTGGATTTCTTGGCTGTTTGATCGACTGGTAGAACATGCGATCGATAGACACAAGGCCGAACGCGAGTGGTATAGTTGCACAGATGGATTGCGAATCCGATCCGACGCCAATGGCAACCAGAAGCTGCAACCATCCCCCAAACAACTTTTTATCATCAGAGGGATTATCTTATCGGTACCTTCTGCAGGTTGCTGTCCAGGATGGGGGCAACGCCAAATCCCCCGATGTGTACCTGGCGGGGCGCGTGTTTATACAGACCCATCTTGCTTCCCTTCCATAGGCGTTATGCGCCCTGAGTGCATCGCCGTCCAGCCAGCCACATGTTGTTGATATCCGTTGTGCGAGTCACAGACACGCTGGATAGAGCAGGCGCGATAGAAACACATCGTCCTTCCTCCTTTTTATTATTATTACCATTACTTTTATGATTACTATTCGTATTCGTATTAGTCTTGCTTCTACTATTATTATTCTCTATTTTTCTAAGGTTATTAATATTTTTGTTTGCACTTTCGCTCTTCTCTCTCTCTCTCTCTTTCTCTCTCTCTCTTTCTCGCTCTCCTCAAGAGGGTTCCTGATGCACAAACAGAGTCCAACCACTCAACGCCTCGAATACATCTCTCCCGTCCTCTTCGAGGGAGCGGGCGAGGGGGTTCTCGTCCTCGGCCCCCTAGGGGGACAGGGCAGCCCTTTACACTTCGCGCGCGCGCAAGCGCCGAAAGGACGTCGTTATCCCGGTGCGCGGCATCGGCGGTGCCAACCTGTTCAAGATCAGGATGAGTGAGAGCGGCGCCGGCGGCCCCAGGATCCAGGCACGCGAGGGGCTCTCTTCTCCGCGGACCTCCCCCGGGGGGCCCCACCGCATCGAGCCATTCGATGCTCTGCAGTCTTCAGGAGGTCCAGGGGGGGGGGCCGTTGTTCGAAGGATTGTAGAAAAAAACGCAGGATTGCAAAAAAACCCAGGATTGCAACGAAGGATTGCAAACTAACCCTCGGTTTTTTTTGCAATCCTGGGTTTTTTTTCCAATCCTTCGACCCCGAAGACATCAAAGTCCAACCCACGACGAAGTGCCTGTCTCCCGAGGGGTCGAGGGGTCCGGGGCCCCCAAGGCCCCCTCCGAGGCCCCAGGGCCCCCCCCGCGCCGTCAAAACTCGTGGCGGAGGAGTTCTGAACGTCGTCGTCCTCGGGGGGTCGTGGCGGGGCTTCGGGGCAGGGAAACTGCAACTCGGGATGAAACGCTAGCCTCGGGATGAGGTCGCGATGCCGGAGGACCCAGTATTGAGTCGAAACACATCGCGTCGAATAGGTTCCTCCTTGCCAGAGGCTTTTAACATATCAAGTCTGAGCCGTTTGTTTCAATGTTTGCTTCATGTATTATTTTGATGTTCATTGCATCCCTTTCTTCTTTCGCGCCTTTCAATCTAAGAGTGGAATTTCGAGAGCCCCTGTGGAAAATCCTCGTAACTGCTTCTTGGGGGATTTCCCATAGCTCTCATATCAGAGCCCCTCAGCCCCGTTACGGGAGTTCTTTGGGGGGTATCTCAGGGCCCTCCAAGAGGCCACCATGGATTTCCGTCTCGATTCTTGTTGGGGGGAGTTCTCCCAGGACCCCCCGTGCCAGGAGGAGGAGCGGGAGGAGCGGGAGGAGGAGGAGGAGGAGGAGGAGGAGGAATAGGAGGAGGAGGACGAGGCCGCATCCCCGCGGGGGCTCTCGGGGGCCTCCTGGGCAGCCGACGGACCGTCTCGAGGCCACAAACATGCGACAACGCCCAAACCAGTGAAGGCACTACTGAACATTAATCGGCGAGGCCGCCTTGAGGATCCGCTTCGGGCCTTCTTGGGGCGTCCGAGGGCCGTCTTGGGCCATCTGTAGAACATCTTGGACATTCTTGAGGCCTCTCTAGCGTGTTGGAGCCTTTATTGAGCCACCTTAAATGTTGAAGCCCCTCGTGTTGGAGCCCTTCCAGCGTGTTGGATGTGTTGGGTTTGTGGATGGGGTGTTCCGCTCCCCACCGCACGCCTCCCCCTTTCCCACACACAAGCAAACACACACGCACACACACGCACACACGCACACACGCACACACACACACACACGCACACACACACACACACACACACTTTTCTGCGTCGGCAGCTGGGCAGAAGGTGACTGCTCTGGCGGAATGGCAACAGGGGATACGCTGTGTGCGAATCGAGGCTGCAATGCACGGAGGAAGAGGAGGAGCCCTGGCGCGACAGGCGGAGAGGAAGCCGGGCCCTTTCAGAGCTGCCGGCTGCGGCGGGAGAGCGCCGAGGTGGGGGGCCGGCGCCGGCACTGAGCTGCACTGAGCTGAAGTTGGGGGGAGGCAGCACGGGCTGCCACTGATGACGGAGAAAAGCAACACAGTCGGGGCCCTGAAGAAGGAACCCTTTTCGTTGGGGAGGGGCTCGGTGTTCCTTAGTTGTTTTGTAGTTAGCCTTTGGTTTTCCTGAGGTTTTCCATGGGAAATCGAAGTTCAATGTGTGGAGAAAAGGGGCCTCGTTCCTTATTTTGGGTTCCTTAGGTCAAGGCCCCGACTGTAGGACAAACTCCGACCCGCCCCAAGGCGCTGCCCAAGCTGGGCCGAGCGCCGAGACGCGCGGGCCAGCGGGGCGCGTGCGGGGAGAGGCCCGGGCAGGGGAGCGCCGGGAGGGAGGCCGGCGAGCCGAGCTGCGCCGAGCTGCCCTGAGCTGGGCAGCGCCGGGATGCCTAGCATCACCACCTACCAAACCACCTCAACCCAACCCGAAGGCTTCGATTTGCCCTCCATTTCCAGTGGGGGGGGGGTCGGGGAACATCGAGAAAACACGTATGGAACCCGTACCCCTCCCAACCCGAAATTCGGGTCTTCGGGTTGGGTTGGGGTGGCCTGGTAGGTAGTCAGGCAGCGGGAACGCCAGCAAGGCCTGGCGAGCCGGCCGGTGCGGCCCAGAGGCAGCCCTACACACGCACACACATACACACCACACACACACACAAACACGATTCCTTCCATTCAGCCAGAGGCAGGTGTTTGTTTGAACCCTCCTCTGAGTTGGGTACTCGTTTTGAGTTCGCAGCGCTACGCCACACCTCCTCCTGTCCACCTCCCTCTCCTCCTCTTCCTGATCATCCTGGTTCGCTACGTGACCCATAGAGAGTTCCAACGAAGGCACCAGGTGCTGCCTCCGCATGATTTGCCGCTCCCTTTCGGCACAGTGGCGCACCCCTCGCACACGTCGTGGCCCAGTAGGACTTCCCACCGAAAGCCACAGTGGCTGCGTCCGCATGGTTGCCCGCCCCATTCCTGCACACCGCTCGCACGCTTCGTGACACCCCATGGGGCGCTCCACCGAAGGCCCTGGGCGCTGCGCCCGCATGGCACCTCTCACATGTTTCGTAGCCCCACAGGGCGTTCCAGCGAAGGCCCCAGTGGCTGCGCCCGCACGGTGACCCGCGTGTCGTGACCCCTATGTTGCGCTCCTCCGACGGCCCCTCACAATATTCTCGTCCATTGAGCGGCCCTTCTCAGAGTTGCCTCGTTTTGAGAAAGGGTTGGGATCTTCGCCAGGCAATGTTTTGCCAGCGGCAATGCGCACGGTCCAGCGCGACCGGGCGACAGCGTCCGCCCCGCGGCGTCCGCCATGGCAGCGTCAGAGCAGCGTTGCGCCCGCCGTGGGGCGGGAGGCTTGGTGCTCGTCCTGCCACGTGCGAGAGGAAGCGCAGACATGGATGGCGGCGCGTGGACCAGCGACGGGTCCCGTTCCCAGACGGACTCGGCGCGCTCCGGGCCTCATGCTCCGGGGGTGCTTGCCTGGTACATAGATTTGGCGCCCACTGGCCAGATCCACGGATCCCTAATCCATGTCAGCGTGCGTCAAAGCATCCGATTGTGATTTGCACTCCCCCGTGGCGGCCAGGCGGCACTCAAATGCCCTCCTCGACCCGGTTCCTTTCGCTCAGCTCTGTTGGGAGGGGAGGTCGAGACGGTGGACAGCAATGTGCTGGCCTACGTCAGCACCGACCCGCTCTGGCGGAGCGGCGTCTCGCAGCCCGCCCCGTCGCCGAGAGAGGCGCCCAGCCGCGTGCGCGCGCGCGCCCTGCCGCTCTTGTCCTCTGCTCCTGGGGGCCCTCGATCCGGGCCAGCCGGAGGAGGCCGGCGTGGACGGGGTCCCCTGAGAATCTGGCGCCGCATTGTTGTTTAAGCCTGGCGGTTTCGCCCGGTAGGGGGCCTGGGGCCCTCCTAGTTCAACCCCCGTCCCGAGACGTGCCTTGAAAGTTGGGATCTGGGGCTCCAGTCGGGGTCTGGTGTTCCATCCCAGCCTCGAGGTTTTTGGACTCCCTCTGGCCCTCACCCGTACGCGAGCCTCTTGGAGAGTCCAGGAGAGCCCCGGAGACCTCTGCGGACCTCCTGGCATTTCCCAAGTGCTTGTCGGTAGGCGGGTCGGGGGGGAGGAATAATCGGCGGCAACCGAGGGGGGGAAGTGGGAGGGAGGGGGCCTTCTCAGAAGGCGGCGGGTCTTCTCAGGAGCTATCCAGCCTTCTGAGAAGTTTTCTGTGCCCTCGGGGAGGGGGGGCCTCAGGAGACTTCTCAGACGGCCGGAGGACTTCCGAGCCTTCTGTGAAGGCCCGCCCCCTCTCACTTCCCCCCTGGACGCGCCGCCGATATAAAGGGGGGGAGGGGGCTCAGGTCACCGGAAGGGGCGCGGAGGTGGTCGCGCTCAGCGCTTGGCGGTCTGCGCCCGAGGATGTCTGCTTGGTCTCCTCTCTGCCCAGGGGGTCGTCGCGATGGCGCGGGGAGGGCGTTGCGCCTCGCAAGTCGCGCGGCGCCGGTCGCAGCGCTGGGCCGACCAGTGAGAAGCGAGGAGGAGTAGGGGCCGCGCGTCTCAGCTCTGGACCAAGCAGTCTGCACAGTACCACTGGGCATTCCGGGTCTTGTTCCTGAAGGCGCGAATCCAGTTTGGGTAGGCTGGGAGGCCACCTGCCAGGTCCTGGCTCAGCGCGTCGTCCCCGGGCCCCACGTGCGGACGTAACATGAGCATGTCCAGTGGGGGGACACCCAGCTCCCACGTCAGGGTGGGCTCGGGAGGTGCAGTTCACCACGCGTGTGAGTCATCTTTGGCTGCTCTGGGTCGAATTCAAGGAAAGCTGCTTGAGGCCGCGGGCGCCGCTTGCGCCGAGGCTTGGGAGCGATCAAACTTGTGCCTCTGTCTGCGCGCCGGGACATGTCACTTCTGGGGCTCATACACAGGGCGGTAACTACTGGGTAGAGGGCCGCAGCATGTTCGGCAGTTATTCACGCTGAGCACGGAGCCTGGGAGGGCGCACAAAGGGCGACACCGGTTGCAGTCGGTGGAGTACCAGGACGGGTACTGGACCGACTTCGTTTCATCGCATTCTCGGCAAGCCAACTATATCCAGCACTCTGTGGGGGGATTGGCTTCGATTTGCAAACGCATGCCGGCGAGAATCGGCGAATAGTACAGCAACATATATTTTTTTCAATGGGGATTGCAAGTTTTTGTCCGTCATAACGCCAGCAGTGGAAACTAAGACTGGGTAGGCTATTCAGGCCGCGCGCCCCCTGGCACAGGCACTTTCTGAGTAAGTATGCTTTGTGAGAGGGACAGTGTCGCCGTAGAACAAGAGTAATGATGATGATGGGATCTAGGAGCGGAACAAGGGCCTACGGCGTTGATATATCTGTACATTTACACATCTACCTTATATGTTTTCGGTGTATATGTATACGCATATATATATATAGTTACATATGTATCACGCGAGGCAGTATGGGAACGTTCTTCGGGCGTTCGTTACCCCGTGCGAACATGCAACGACCACGTCGCCTCAATTTCCGAGTATGGCTTGCAATGCAAATTTAGCAGCGAGAGGGGGAGGAGGATTTCTTTGGATTTCCCTGGTCGCCCCCACGAGTCCTGAGGATTTCCTGAAGATCTCTCTCACATGCCTAGCATACCTTAACATTGCCTCTGGGAGGATTTTCCGATGGCTTTCTTTGTACATTTGGTAGGGTCCCAATCAATTTCACAGTGTGTTTTCATTACTGTTTATCTTCTCGCCCCCGCGCGGGATTTCGTATTCCATTGTGCGCTTCTGGTATTCGTACTGCTATTGCCGCTGCTGTTTTTTCTCTGACACTTCTATCGGCCAGAATTTGGTTTTGTCGGCGATGGTGCCCCGATTTTGTCGTAGGACCCCAGTGGTCATAGGACCCCAGTAGACAACGTCCGCAGTGAGAGACGGCGGGGAGAGGGGAGAACATAAACGATGGGGGAAGAGGAGGAGAGGGACGGAGTGGAGGAACCGAGGTGGATGGGGAGGGAAGGAGGAGGACGAGGAGGGTGAGGACGACGAGCGGGGGCAGGGCTTACTCATGCCCACCACGGCTCTCATGGGGAAACCAACGTACCGACGCCGATGCCCCTCTCCGTGGTTCGCTCGCGGCCTCTTGCGGGCTTCTCGGGCCGCGTCAGAGCGACATCGGCCCGTCCGGCGCTTGCGGGGGCTGTGTCGGGGATCTCTCTGGCCCGCGTCCGGGTCCTATTGCGGCGGTTTAGTGCAAGACTGGGGGTCACCCGGCAGGTTTCGGGGGTCGTCGTCAGGCCCCCTGGCAGGCCAGCAACAACTGGGGGAGCTGTGGTCCTTAACCCCCTGGAGGACCCATCGATTTCGACACCCCTCTCGAGAGATCGTCGAGGCGATGGGTTCCCCCAGGGGGGTAAGGACCACAGCTCCCCCAGTGGTCGGCCTGGGGGGCCGTTGGGGGGCGTCGTGGGATTTCTGGGGGCGCGTTGGGTCCGTCGCAGTGGCTTTCCTGAAGGGCCCTCGGTCCGTCGAGGGCCTCCCTGGAGACCGAAGATGCCGTCTAGGACTCTCGGAGCGCACGTACCTGGTGCTGCACAGCAGACTCGTGCCGCGCCAGCGTGTCTGCAGTCGGGGCTCTGAAGAGGGAACCCTGTTCGTGGGGCAGGGGCTCGGTGTTCCTTGATTGTTCTGCAGTTTGCCTTCGGTCTTCCGGAGGTTTCCCATGGGAAATGGGAGTTCAGCTTATGGGAGGAAGGGGCCTCGTTCCTTATTTAGGGTTCCTTAGGTCAACGTCCCGACTGTTTTGCTTTTCCTGACCTTTCTCGCCCCGCTTCACCTGCGCATTCACCGTGGCTCGTGCGTCGTGCACCGGAGCTTGTGCGCAGGTGTATCGTGCGCGTTGGTGTTCCGAGCCTCCTTCGACGCAGTTCTTCTTTGTGTCTTGATGTTTGCCTGCGCGGCGTCAAGTGGTATGTATACCTCTGTCGTTAGTATCACCCGTATCGCCATGCTGTGTGATCTTGCTTTCGTTCTCGCTATCGTTTCCAGCTCCGATCTCGTCACCATTGATAGTTGTAGTCTGGCGATGCTGCTCGGACGTCTGTTCAGTTTCGCTCAATTGTGTAACAACAACATCATCGTTATTTCACCATGCTGACTTACATCAGGGCACGAACCATCGCGTGAACACGCGTGCCCTCGTCTTCGTTTGATTGCGTTTATATACGCATTGTACCGTGCGCTTTCGTTTTAAAAGGTACGATTGTTTGCATCACGTTTTGTCGTCGAAAGTTTGGCCAGCTAAGCGCGGCGCCTGAGAAAGTTCGAATGGCACCGCCGCCTCATTTCGGCATACCTCCACGCGCTTCGTGGCCCCATTGGGAGCTCTGCCGAAGGCCGTTGTGGGAAAGTTTGCATGGCACCGCAGCCCCATTTGGGCACCCCTCACACGTTTTGTGGCCCCATAGGGAGCTCCACCGGAGGCCCCAGTGGGAAAGTTCGCATGGCACCGCCGCCCAACCCCGGCAAGCTCCTCACACGTTTCGTGGCCCGATAGGGAGATCCACCGATGGCCCCAATGGCGCCAATGTCGACGTTCGTATGCGTCCGCCCGATTCATGTCGGCACGCCTTTCAAACGCTTCGTGGCAGAAGGTTACACCGTGTGCGTTACTGGGAGTTTGCACCTCCCCCCATTCGTCTCATCTCCCTCGCGGTATTCGCAGCTGCATATGGTTGGGTTGTTCGTCAGGCTGTGTACTTATGTTTTTCCAATGGTGTTCCTAAAGTTTCAGCCTCCAGCGCTTCGGTGCCTTTTTTTGAGCGTGGTGCCTTCCTCCTCGTCCTCCAGGGAATCACAGTAAAGGATCTCCAGTAAGGAAACCTGATTCAGGATTCCCTATTGCGGACCTCTTCAAACATTTTTTTATGAGGAGTACGGGAATTCTGTTTGAAGGGTGCCTGGCAAATGGATTTCCCACTCCAGATTCCTTAGCCAGAATTCCTTACGAAGGATTCCACATGAATGGTTTCCTACTGAAAGGCGCGCGACTAAGGAATCATTTCTAAGGTTCCCTAGTCAGGGTTCGTAATGACAATATTGGTTACTGAGGATCTCTGCACACGAATCCCTTTACTTGAACAAGCACTCCTTACTACGGATACCCTGCTTAGGATCCTCTTGTAAGGTCACCTTAGTAACGGTTCATTCTAAGGATCCATTATGTAATATTCGTTATTGAAGATTCAAAGTATGAAGGGTTCCATATTTAGGGCCCCTTCGAAAGGATTCCTTACTAAGGATTCCTTACCAATGATTCCTGATTGAGGATCTCGCAATAAGAAGTCCTTAGTTCAGATGTCGTGAGAAATGTTCCCACTACTGATGCATCCTAGGCAAGGGTTCCTTTGTCAGGGTTTCTCACAAAGGATCCGTCACTTCATGTTCCAAACAGGGGATTCCCGAACACATATTCCTTTATCAGAGTTCCTTATCCGACTTTTACCATCATCAAGACTTCTTTAATCAGGAGTCCCCCGTAAGGAAATCTTGCCAAGGTTTCCGAACTGAAGGTTTTTCCGTAAGGATTGAAAAGTAAGTAAGGGTTATTTCAGTAGCATGTGTGAAACATGTTTTTTATTAATGATTCCGTTCTGAGTAGTTAACGTTAACCATCAAAGCAGGTGTACCGACACGCCCGCGCGCCGTATAGAGAGAGAGGGAGAGAGAGAGAGAGAGAGCGAGATTCGCCAAATGTTTAGAAAGGGATGAGTTTGTCACTGGTTATATTTCTGTGGCCATGGAAGTGTGACGCGGGTTCGAGGGGTCTCTGAGAAGGCTCCCATTTGGCCTGGGCTTGATTACCGTCCAGACGGTCTGTTAGAGATTGCCCGCTGAGGTGCGGACTGGGGTCGGACGTGAGAAACTTGTTGTATCGGCTGAGGGTCATGCCGAGCTGGGGGTTTCGGTGCCCAGCTCGGGGTTGCCTTCCGTGTTGGGTGTAGCGCGGCCCTCGGTCAGAGTAGTACCCCCCCCAGCCGTCAGGAGGGATGCGCACATGGGTTGGCAATGTTGTCCAGAAGTGACTCTCTCCCTATTCCCCTCCTCCTCCTTCCTTCTTCTCTCCTCCCTCATTCCCCCCTCCTCTCTCCCTCACTCCTCCGTTTTCTCTCCCTCCCTGCTTCCTTTGCCGTTCCCCCCTGCCTACTCTCACCTCAACCGCGAGGCGTTCGCAGATTCCAGGAGGCCTCTGCAGCAGGAGGCCTCTCATTGCCTCCTGTCTCTCCCCCCTCACCTCCTCCCTCCCCTCCTTCCCCCCCTCTCCTCCCGACGGCGCCGAAGACGGACGCGAAGACGACGGCCGCGGCGGCCGTGACTGCGACGGCTGCGGCGCTGGCGCTGGCGACGGCGCGCCCCGCAGGGCGCCCGCGGGCAGGGCCCGAGCCTGCAGATCTGCTGGCCCTCCGGCAGGCCCTTCGGGTGCCTCCGGAAGGCCCGCGCCCGCGCCCCCCCCGCTCGGAGCCCACGCCCCCGCTCCGGGGCCGGCGCCCCCGCTCGGCCCCCATGTCGGGGCCAGCGCCTCCCACCCCACCCCTCTCGCCCGTGCACCGCCGACGGGGGCCCGACGGCTCCCCCCGCGCCGGAGCGTGCGCTCTCCCACGGTCAGGGGCCTCCTTTGTCGAGCTGTCGGAGGCGCATATCGCGCGGAGGTTCTTCGCCGTGTTCGGTCCCCGGAGGGCCCTCGCCGGGCCCAGTATGACCGTCAAAGTGGGCACTCCTTGAGGTGGTGACGATGATCATCATCATCATCATCATCATCATCATCATCATCATCATCATCATCATCATCATCATCATCATCATCATCATCATCATCATCATCATCATGATGACGATGGTGCAGCTTGGGAGGGGGTGGGTACTTCTGGGGCTCCCCCTTTCGCCACAGAGAACTTCAAGCATCGGACCTACCCGTGGACGGAGACACACTGATACCCATTCAGGTGCCGTCATTTTTCTTCCTTCCTTTCCAAGGGGCCGATCAGAAACCCAACATAGATTCAACGCCCTCCTACATCGTGCTCCTGTCCACTTCTTCTGAACGGTGGGTGCACGAGATTAGCCGCGCGTAGTAAACTCCAGTACGCGTGTGGAGCTGGTAGAGCGCCGGCGTGCCCAGCCTTGGGAAGCACAGCTTCCTGGGCTTGAGCCGCCTCAGTGCAGTGGTGATGCAGCGGCGGTTTCCTCTGGCGTGCTCCCCGCGGGGGACGGAGTTCTCCCAGGGCCCTGCACACGGGGCGTTAGTAAACGGGGCGGTAGCCAAGGGGCCTCTTCGAGCGAGAACGGGGCGGCAGGGCATTTGCCCCGCACCTGTGCGTGCTACATCGGGACGAGAAAGCGTCGATACATCATCATAACTCTGGTCGGGGGGGGGTTACCTTGCACTTGTGCGCGGCAAATCAGATGTTTGAAAGCACCATTGAAAACGCACCCTTAGCTACCAGCCCGTTTACTAACGCCCCGTTTACAGGGGCTTGGCTCTCAGGGGTCTCCACGGTACGGTCGGTTCGGCCGCGTGGCAGTCGGTTGCATTCGGTCGGCTGTGGCGGCTCCGTCGTTGCGTCGTTTTTGGTTTCTCCAGGCAGATTCGGGGTACAGTCGGTTCTGGTTTCCTTTTGGATTCGGTTGGTTTCCTGTTGTGTTGTCACCGTAGACGGTCGTGGGTCATGAGGGGAAGTAGTTCTGAGTTGTTTCTCTCCGTCTTTTGCCCCTCGGGGCCCTTCCATGGCACTGGGATCACCACTACACGACTCAGGATGAAGAGTGGTTCTTGGGGGCAGCCCTGGTGTCCAGTTCCCGTTTTCCTCAGGGCCGATTTCGTTCATGGCCAATCCAGGGTGATTTCGCTACGGGAAACAGCATCTGCATGTTCAGATTTTCTATGATAGCAAATGCGGTAAGAGTTCCGACGGTGTTCACGACGTACCACGCAGAAGTCCACAGAAAAAAACGGGGGGAGGTTGGAGACCAGACTCCCTGAATCGCCGTTTCGCTTCAGACTTCACCAGTTAGGACACTTGGGGCCGTTTCGCCTGGGACTTCCTGCCAATGTGGGACCACCGAAGCCGTTACGCTTGGTTTTTCCTCGTAGTGAGACAGCATAAGCCGTTGCGTTTGAGGCTTCTCGTATTGTGCGACCACAGAAGACGTTGCGTTTGAGACTTCTTCCCGAGCCACGAACACTGAAGTAGTTTCGCCTGAGAGTTCGTCACAATATCCGACCACTGAGGCCGTTTCGCCTCAGGCCTTCTTCGAATGTAGAATCGCGTACGCCGCACTTCAATTGGAACGTTTCCGCGGCTAACGGCTCTGAAAGTTCGCTTCGCTTCAAAAATGATAACAATTGAGGACCACTGATGCCCGTTCGCTCTGAAGACGTCCTCACGATGTGCGACCCCAAGAACCGTTTCGCTTGAGACGTCTTCACGGTGTAAGACAACAGGAACCGCTTCGCTCAAGACGTCCTGACAAATGAGTATCACACGCGCCGCCTCGCACGGTACATCCTTACACCTTAGCACCACGGTAGCCCGTTCGCCTGAGATTTCCTCACGATTTAGGGCCGGAGAAACCGTTTCGCTCGGGCAGCCCTCACGATGTTAGGACCACCGATGCGGTTTCGCTTGAGGCGTCCCCTGAAGTTTCGACCGCATCAGCAGTTTCGCTCGAGACTTCATGCCTGACCACACATGTCGTTTCACCTGATGCTCCTTCACAAGTGAGGACCACAGCAGCCATGTCCGGTACCCATCTGGGTGGGTGGCACGTAAGGAGACATGGTTCGAACTAGGGGCACTCATGTTGACTAGTCCCCTGGGTGGCTTGGACACGTAAGAACACGTGGATCCAGCTCGTGACAACCATGTGACCCCCTCAACCCTGGGTGGCCTGGGCACGTGCACGTGGATCCAGCTCGGGACAACCATGCTAGTAGACGTTCAAACAGGTGGTTCCAGCTCGGTTTCGCGGACCCCCTATCGGGACAATCGCACAAACCATGGCATCACCAGCATCATCACGCCATCTCATCATGATCATGGTCACGATCAGTAAGTACCTTTGCTGCGAGAAGGGTTCTTTGCTGGGGCAACCTCATGAAGCCATAAAGAACCCAATTGCTGGTGAAACGATGACGCATCGAGCACTCTGGAGCGTTGCCCTGGCACCCTGGCAATTGGCTGTTCCTTAGCACTCCTGTGGAGCCCCCAGCAGCCCTCGAAGGTGGCGATGAGGAGGAGGAGGGGGACAGGGAGGAGCATGGGGAGGAGGAGGAGGGTGGGCGCAATTTATCTTTTCCCCAGGATAGGGGTTCTTGTTATTACTCCGGCCGCGCCGAGAAAGGGGACAGGAACACCCTCACCTCTTCCTTATCATGTTATGCAACGGCGTGCTATGCTATGATCTCATACGGTATGGCATGCCATGTTTTGTATGTAGTATGTTATGGCATGGTATGGTGTGTTATGGTATGCTGTGTTATGTCATGCCATGTTCTGGTACGGTGATAAGTTTGACTATGCTGATGCTTATGGTTCTGGTAGTGGTGATGATGACGATGGTGACAGTGGTGATGATCGTGATAAGGCGGCATCTTCGCATGATGATGTTGATGGTGGTGGTGGCCATGATGATGATGATGATGATGATGATGATGATGATGATGATGATAATGATGATGATGATAATGATGATGATCATCAGGCTGATTAAACTGATGCTGATGCTGATGATGATGATGCTGATGATGGTGCTGATGATGAGGATGAGGATGATGATGATGAACATGATGAGGATGATGATGAGGATGATGATGAGGATGATGATGATGATGAGGATGATGATGATGCTGATGCTGATGCTGATGATGATGATGGCGGGGCAATGTCTGGGGATGTCTCGTGCGGCGCGCGGGTTTCAGTACCCCCAGGGGGAGCCGCCAGGGGGTATGTCACTCCTCCGCGCGCGCCACAAAGGCGGAGATGTCTTGAGGGTTCTGCATGCCTGCCAGCGCAACATCCTCTGCTGTCGGAGTACAGATTTTGAGGATGTCCCGAGCAAGGCGTTGGCGCTGACACCCCGGGGGGGGGGGGGGGGGGGGGGCAGATCTTGCTTGAGGATGTCTCGAGTGTTGTTCTTCCTTCTTGGTGGCCAGATCCGCCCGCTTTCAGGGTAGATGATGAGGATGTCTCGGGTGTGCCGTTGGTTTCAACACCTCAGGGCGCCATGGTGTATTATGTTATGTTATGTTAGGATGTTCCCCATCTCCCCAGGGTGAGGTTATTGGTCTTACTCCGACCGCGCCGAGGGGGAACAGTAACACCTCCCTCCCTCATATTCCGTCCCATGTTATGGTATCATATGTTATGTTGTGGTATGGCCCGTTATGGTATGCTATGTTATATTATGTAATATTATGCCATTGCCCAATGCCCACAAATGCTTGGGTTTGTGTTATTACCCCGACCCCGCCGAGAAGACACTACCATCCGTCGCTTTGGTATCATGGTGTGTTGCGTTATGGTATGCTCTATTATGTTATAGTATGGTATGGTATGTGATACATTGCTATGGTATGGTCTGATATAGCAGGTCATGATATGTTATATTGTAGCCTGGTGTGTTAAGCGTGCTGCTATGATGTGGTATGCAATGCTATGGTATAGTATGTCATGCTAGTATATGTTATGCTAGGTGGTATCATCATGATGATGGTGGTGATGATGATGCTGGAGATGATGCTGATTCTGATTATGACGATGCTGATGCTGTTGGTGATGGTGGTGCTGGTGGTGATGATGTAGATACTGATGATGATAATGGTTGTTAATCGTGCTTGTGGTGATCATGCTGATCATGATGATGCTGATGATGATGATGATGCTGATACTGATGATGATGACATGATGATGATGCTGATGATGATGATGATGACGATGGCGATGCTGCGGATGATGACGATGATGATGATGATGCTGATGATGCTGATGATGCTTATGTTTATGATGATGATGATGATGATGATGATGATGATGATGATGATGATGATGATGATGATGATGGCAGAGCAAAGTTTCAGCACCACCAAGGGGGAGCCGCCAGTGGGTATCTCACACCTCCGTTCGCGCCAACTTGCGGGGATGCCTCGAGTGGTTTGCTTGTTTCCCAGCGCAGCATCATTTGCTTTCGGAGCAGATTTGAGGATGTCTCGAGCGAGGCGCTGGTTATCTCTTGCACCCGTGGTGGCCCAGACTGCGAGGATGTCTCGGACGGTTGGTCTGTTTTGCTGGCCAGATTTGTGGGCACGGGCCCTCCTCAGGATGCCACAGGAGGCTCCACTAGGCTCCAGATGGCCCCAGGAGGCCACAGGAGGCCCCAGGAGGCATAAGCAGGCCACATGATGCCCCAAGAGGCCACCCGGGAGGCTCCAAAAGG